GCAAGCTGGAGGGGCGGGTGGCGGCTCTCGGCGGGGTCGAAAGAGACGACGCGCCGGCGCTCGCGGCGGAGCACCCCCCACTACTGCGCGCGGACGCGGCGATGCTCAGCGGAGCGGGCGGCCGTGCTGTGAAGAGGCGCTGTTCACACCTGCACCGAGCTGTGCGCAGGCGATGCTCCGCGAGCGAGTGGCCGTCCAGCGGCGCGCCATCTCCCCGCGAGGGCCGGGGCGAGCGCCTGTCGCGAGGCACTCGCCGCAGCAGCGTCGGCGAGAAGGCGCGCCGCAGCACGGCCACCCGCTCGCGGAGCATCGCCTGCGCACAGCTCGGTGCAGGTGTGAACAGCGCCTCTTCACAGCACGGCCGCCCGCTCCGCTGAGCATCGCCGCGTCCTCGCGCAGCAGTCTCGGGTGCTCCGCCGCCAGCGTCGGCGCGTCGGCTCCTTCGAGCCCGCCCAGTGCCGCTAGTCGGTCCTCCAGCTTGGCCATGTCTCGCGAGAGCATGTCGGGGGCCTGGGGCGGGAGAGGGCAGGGGAGGAGAGGGCGGCGGGCTCGGAGGCGGCGGTGACGGCGGCGGTGGCGACGGTTAAGGCGGGCTTGGAGGCGGTGGCGACGATGGCTAATTTTCCCGCCACCAGCCGCCGAGGTCAAGCAGGGTGGTGCGTTGCGGTCGCCAGAGCGTGTCCCGCGAGTGCTAGAGGCGCAAATAAAGAGTTCACCACCACATCTGCTCGCCGCGCCTCTTTTGTGAGCGCCACAGGCCGTCCAACTTGCCGCATCTACTCGGCGTAGACTATGCCGCATCTACTCGGCGAAACCCGCCGGACGAGTCGGAGCAGGTCGGCGGCGGGCAGCAGGCCGCGGAGGGCATCGAGCTTCTCGCGCAGCCTGCGTGGCCGGTAGAGCAGCAGGCCTGGCGCGTCGCTCAGCAGCAGCGGCAGCGGCAGCGAGGGCAGCTCCGCGCGGAGCGCAGCCAGCCTCGATCGCAGCACGTCCGGGCGGCTCCATGCGGTGCCCTCGGAGGCCGCGAGGCGCGCGAGGCGCAGGCTCGGCCCATGCGGAAGCCCGAGCTCCGCCCAGAAGCTGCGCAGCTCGCGGACACGGGCGGACGCAGCGGCAGAGGCGGAAGCTGGCACGCCAGCGGCGGCGGGCAAAGGCGTGGCCGGTGCGGCCGTGCTGGCTGGGATGCAAAACGTTCGGCCCAGCCGCGAGGCGACGCCGTTACGCCAGCAGAGGCGGAGGCGGTGCATGACAAACGGAAAAGAAAGAATTTCCAGAGGTCAGGCAAAGATGGGAGGACATTTTAAGGAGAGGAGTGTGGTGCTAGCCGTCGTCCACCCTCGGGCGTCTACCACTTCCTATCTCTCTTCGCAGTTTCTCACCAATTCTCGCAGCGACCTTCATGCCAAATCTCGTTCTTCTCACTCTCGTCCTCGTTCTCTCCCCTGCTATTTCATCCTCTGACTCATCGCTCTCCTCGGCCTCGTTCTGTGAGACGCCGCTGCCGTCTGCCTTGCTCTCGCTGCTTCTCTCGCCGCTCTGCGCAACTCACTCCGCCCTCCTCGCGGCATAATTTGGCCCCTCGAGTTTATCGAGCTCCCCTCGCGCAAGGACCACATTTCTGACTCCCACTCCGATCATTTGCCTCCAAGTCATGTCGTTGCTCAGGTCCACTCTCTCTTCGAACACTTGTACCTCAACGGTCGATGTTGGCACTGGGGCTCCCTTCGGGTATATCGTGACAGGCTGATGGCGGGATTACCACTGGTGTTTCGTCCTCCTCGGAGTCGTCTTCCCCGGCTTCCTCTCGTTCGGCTCTACGTTCATTACGTTCATCGTGGCTCACCCTCCATGCCGTGAACAGGCGCCCTATCCATCCTATGTTCTTTTACTTTTCTCGCTCCAGAGCTCCAGACCCAGACAGAATTCATGATGGCTTCGCGGCTGGGTTTCTTGGGTTTGTTTCTTTCCTTTAAGAATTCTTTAAAAATGTTTTCATCCCAGCCTGAGTGTTACGAACATTCCCGTAGGAGGACTCTGCTGACAGGGTTTGCAATGAGCAGCGACCCGATGGGTTTCTCTCGGAGGTTAGAGCACCACCACTAACAGCGAGCATGGATAGGTGTTCCCAACTCGGGACCATACCGCGCCATGCTGAAAGAAAGAAAGAAAACAGACAAGCAAGGGAGGGATGGGAGGACGGCACGCCGCCACCACACAGGCAGGAAACGATTCTCCCGAACCAAAATTCTTTTCAGCGCCTTTTTCTCAGAAGCTCGCATCTATGGCAGCGAACGCTTTCACCTGTCTCGTTGGCCTCTCCCCGCGCACGCACGCACGCCTACCCTCCTCCAGCCTGCGCATGGTTGCCCTCGCCGAGCCGGCCGCCGGCGCCAAGCCTCGCTCGAGAGGCGCCGGCCAGCGTGAGCGTGTCAGCACCACATCGCTGCCGCTGCGGATCGACGGCGCGTGGTACGATCTGTCGAGCTATGCGGACGAGCACCCGGGCGGCCGCTGGCTCCTCGAGTACGCACGCGGCCGCGACGTGACTGCGCTCTTCCATGCCATTCACATGAAGAACTCGAAGCTTGCGACGGCGGCACTGAGCCGTCTGCCACGCCTCAAGTCCGAATCGTTGCCGCAGCCCAGCAGGCCGTGCCCGTTTCCGTCCGAGCAGGCGAGCGAAGGCACGTTGCAGGGTCCTTACGTGCTCGCCGGCCTCGATGGCAAGCCGGTGCCCGAGGCGCCGCCTCTGCCGCCCATCGAGTCGGAGCTGCGGCGGGATCTGGCGGAGATGCTGCGGCGCGAGTTTCCCACTCCGGCCTCGTCGAAGGCGTCCGCGGCGCACTGGGCGCGCACGATTGCCGCCCTCGTCGGCACCGTGGCATGCTGGGCGGGCTGGGTGCAAGGCTCGGCGCTCGCGTGCCTTCTGCTCCCATTTGTCCACTGGGTGCTCATCGCCCACACCGTACATGAGGCGACGCACGGCAACCTGCACACGGACCCGCGGATCAATTTTTGGGCCCAGTTCACGTCACACCCGATCTGCTTCAACGTCTTCGTCTGGATCCCGCAGCACCTCCTCTCGCACCACCAGTACACCAACGACTACGAGCACGACGTCGACTGCCACCACTTTGCTCCGGCGCTCATCTCGGACGCGATGCCGCGCATGGCGAGCGCCGAGTCGAGCTTCAACGAGGGGTGGACGTTTGTGTGGAAGGGCTTCCTCACCACGCTCGGCACCTCCATCCTCCAGCCGCTGCGCACGCTGCGTGAGAAGCCGACGCCCAACTACGACGTCAACGTGACGCCCGTGCCGGCCGCGGTCTCGAAGCGCACGCTGTGGTTGTCGGTGCTGCCCTCGCTGCTCGTGCTCCTCTACCCGCTGCTCGTGTGGCTCCCGCAGGCTCCGCTGCTCGGGCTGTGGCTGCTCGTGTGGCCGTGGGTCGGGATGAGCCTCATCTTCACGACGATGACGCAGGTGAGCCACGTGCAGCAGAGCTGCCAGCCCACGCAGGCCCAGAGCGGCTGCTGGACTGCGCGGCAAATCCACGCGTCGCTCGATTACTCGCTCGGCGCGGCGACGCCCATGCCGGAGCAGCAGCTCGTCACCGCGCTCGCCGCCGGCCTCAACGCGCAGTCGCTCCACCACGCGATGCCCACGCTGAGTTGCGCGCACTTCCCGCGCGTGTACGCAGAGTACCGCCAGATCTGTGAGCGGCACGGCGTGACCATCCGCCACTCGGAGAACGTCGGCACGGCGGTGCGCGAGATGCTCGAGTACGTCTTCGAGAACAATCGGCCGGTGGGCGGGGCCTGACCGTGTCAAAGCCTCAGAGCCGTGGGGTGAAATTCTGAAAAACGTGCAGCACTTCTAGCCGACATCGACAAAAGTCACTCTCTAGCCCCGCGGCGAGCAGCCCCGCCGGAGGCGACGAAAATTTTGCCATCTAGCGCTCTCTAACACACATTTTTGCACAAATCGACGCCTCCAAACAGGCTCAATAAGACTGGTCTTCACTGCAGCACGCCTCGAGCGAGTAATGCGTCTATAGGCCAATATAAAAGAGCTTCTCGCGCGCGCTCCTCAGCTGGCGGTCCGCAGGGCCGCCCGGGCCGGGCGAGAAGCGCAAGCCCGCCAGCCGCACCATGTGATTCACGATGATGAGCGTCTCGGCCTCGAGCAGCGTGTAGGAGCGAAGCTTGCCCTCGCACTCGCGTTGCTCGAGCCTGAGCCAATGCGCCTTGACCACGAGATAGCCCGCGGGGATGGTGTCAGTGTTGACGACCGTGTCCTCGGCCAGCGTGTACGCCTTCCCCTTGAGCACCGCCAGCCAGTAGAGCCCCTCGAGCGACTGCTCGCGCCGATCTGCGCGGCGACAGCGGCCTGGACACGTCCGGCCAAGTCGGTTACGGGGAGGGCTACTACGAGGTCTTTGCGCGGGGGTGGTCGGGCGCCAGGCGCCCAGTCGATTGCCGCATAGTTCGTCGTAGTAGCCCTATCATAAACCTCGTATTCACACCTTGCACTTTGAAAAAAGAAATATCCGACCTTTGTCGAAGATCCAGAGGGTTTATCAGAGCATCACCCCGTGTGTGTGTTTGCACCTTGAGAGCAGCCGATTAAATAAATAAATAAATAAAAACGGACACCTCTCTACTGTGAGATGGGTAAAAAGGAACAGGTCCCCGCCCTTGCGATCTTTGTGCAGGGTTCTTTGTGGGTGTGGTCGGCGACTAGCCGGCGGGTCGTCCTCCCGATGGGGGACTAGCACTAGCCGTCTTCCACATGGATCATGGTCCCTCGGCAGCCGATTGCGATTCAAAAGTCGACTGGTCTCGTATTTCCGCCCCTTCCTAGAGTCAGTTCTGCCGAAAGACACGCGACACGCGTGTCGCGTAATGGGTAATCGATTCGATAAGCAACACACATCGAACAATCGGAACATGCAATAAAGCCGCCTGAACACACACCGCAGGGCGAGCCCAGGAGCCAGGTGTTTCGTCCCTGTCTCAAAACGCCCCCCCGGGGCAGCCAGTGTCACAAGTGCGTCTCAGTAATGTCTCACAGACTCTCACCGATCTCTGTGTTGTCTCAGCCTGGTCACAGCAACAGTCTCACTTTGTCTCTCAAGGGAGAAGGGTGGCACAGTCCACCTTCAGATCACTCCAGACAGCAGGTGCCACAATGTGCGACAGATCACTCCAGACAGCAGACAGGCCGACGTCTGCACGCGGCCGGCCGGGCGAGAGGCTTGACACGATCCGACCCTGCGACCCTGATGCTGCTGCTCTAGCTATCCGACATGCACTGCTGACTGCTGCCACAATGTGCGACCGGTGCTGGCCCCCTTGGCGGCCTTCCCGGTCAGTGGTGAGGCGCAGTTCAGAGCTGTCGATGGCGCGATGCCGCACTGGTCCCACATTGGTGACACGAGACCACCACGTTTGCCGGTCCAAGAGAGAGGCACCGGCGCTGTCCGGAGAAGGTGCGTGGTCCCTCTTGACTGCCCATGCGCGCGAGGCTGTGTAGGCATAGCCTCGAGAGTGCCAGCAGCCAATCTGAGGCAGTTTGTGACGGCATTGCGTCAGAAGCGTGCACACGATGGAAGGACACCTTCCTACTGGCCGTACGATCAGGTCGTCACTGAATGCCGAAGACTAAGGCCGCGAGCTATGCAGGTGATCAATTGTGCATCATGGCACGGTCAGCAGCGCCGACAGGCTGTCGCAAGGCGTGATAGCATGGCCCCGCAAGGACGCCGAATTCCCATGAAAACAAGTACCGATTGTAAACAATCGGACAAAAAAAGAAAACATGTGAAAAATCGGAAAAATCGGCGCCTGCGGCGGGCCATGGGACCCAATCTCCCCCCCCGCCGCATGGACACCCTCTGGGCCCCCCGCGCCAGCCCAGAGTTTGGGTGCTCAGGTTGCACATCCCACACATCGTGTGGTGTGGTCACGCTCACGGAGAGCGAGGTGAGTGTGTATGTACACACCACTTACTGACGTATAATCGACTCGCAGACCTCCCGCGGCGGTCACAGAGACGCTCTGGTAGGACTCCCGCCCACAATCTGCATCTCTCCTCTGCGGCTGCGCCGAATCAAACGCGCACCCCGCACCTTGAGTTCCGGTTGTTCCCCCGCGGCACCCCCCGCGCCCCGCCGCACGTACTGTATCTCTCGCAGGGGCCAATGCGCATGCATCTCCCGAGTCCTTCCTCCTCCGCATCCACGCCCCTCCTCTACACAGGATGTCGGCTCCGCTACAGCATGTCGAGCGCGCCACCTGGCGGCGCGGAGCTCTTTGCCTCGCTCGGCGGCGGGTTCTCCGCCTCGTCGCCCGCGGCGGAAAAAAAGGGCGCGTCGGACGCGGCGGGCGCGTTGTCGCCCGCCGCGGGGCTGCCCCCCCACGCCGGCTCGGCCGGCTCGTCCCACCCGCCCTCGTCCTCGGCGGCGCCCTCGGCGGTCCCCTCGAACGCGCCCCCGCCGCCGCCCGCTGCGAGCGCCTCCCACTCCGCCGGGCCGGCGGCCGGCGGAGGCGCGGCGGAGGGCGCGCCGGCTGCGCCGCCCTTGGCCCGCTCGCCGAAGGACGACTCGGCCGACCGCTCGCCGAAGGACGACTCGGCCGACGCCTCCTCCATCGACGCCATCCAGCCGCGGGAGCGGCCTGCGAGCGAGGGCGTCGAGCCCGGCCCGCGGCCCGCTCCCTCGCCGCTGCGCCTGCGCGGCGGTGGGTCGAAGCCGCCCTGGCCGAGGTGGTGCCTCTCCGCCTCCCTCCGGCCGTTGCCCGGGTCGCCGAAGTCGAGCATGTGGCCGAGGTCGGACAGGTCCGACACCGAGAGCGAGTCGTCGAGGAGCGGGGACGACTCGAACGAGCCCGTGTAGTGCGCCGTCGGGTGGAGCACCTCGCAGATGAGGCGCGGCAGCGCGAGCCGCGGCCCGATCACGAGCGGCGGCTCGCAGTTTGGGCTCGGCGTGAGCTGGTGCGCCTGCGTCTCGTCCTCGAGCGAGATGACGACCTGCGGCGGCTTGGACCAGCTCGCCTTGCGCGACCGCTCGATCATCGGCATCAGCTCGTTGACGAGGCGGCAGACCTCGAGGCACTCCGAATCGGACGAGACGAGGACGAGGATCACGTCGAGGTTCTTCATCGACGCTGCCAGCCAGAGCAGCCGCATCGAGTACGCGTACCGGGCCGGGTCGTCCTCGAGGTCGTGCGAGCCGCGCCGGCCGCGAGGCGTGTGGGCACGGCCCCCGGAGCCGGACCTCGGCGAGCGGCGCGGCTCGCGAGGCTCGCCCGCTGTCAGCCGCACCTGCTCACACGTGCAGCCGTGAAGACGCGCCGGAACGCTGAAGGGAAGCTCTCGCCCGCCGCACCGAGCCGCTGCGCTGCGGCATCTGCGTCCGCCGCGAGCCGAGCACCTGCCCCTCGCCGGACTCGACGTCGAAGCGACCGAGGTCGAGCCGGGGCAAGGGCGTGCGCGCCGCAGCGGCGGCGAAGCTGACGGCGTCGGAGCCGAGCTGCTTCGAGGCGAGCATCCGGGACCGCTCGAGCGGGTTGGAGCCGAAGCCGCGCGAGTGGAGGGCGGCGAGGGCCTGGTCGGGGCTGCGCCTGTCCACAGGCGAGGTGTGAAGAGACGCTGCTCCCAGCCGGACGGGAGGGCCTCGTCGGCGCGGCGCCGCGGCGTGGCGACGACGGGGGAGCCGCCCCAGAGGTCTCTCTCGGAGATTGGGAGCTTTGGCATGGTTGGCATGGAGCGGTGGGCGACGAGCTTCTCCCACGGCTTGATCGGCATGCCCTGCGCCCCCTCGCGGGAGAGGAGCTCGCGCTGCAGCTCGTCGGGCAGGCCGATGATGTTGTAGCGCGAGCGCTTCTCCAGCTGCTCCGACTCGTCCACGCTCGTGTTGAGCGAGAAGGTCTCGTCGGCGACGAGCACCTCCCACTGCAGCTCGCGCAGCCGGCGCGTGATCGCCTCGCCGAGGGGCGAGTCGGCGCTCTTGATGCAGAGCACGCCGCGCGGCTTGGGCTTGCCGAGCGACGAGTTCTTGACGTTGCCGAGGTTGCGGATCCGCGGGCCGTAGCCAGTCTTTGGCACCTCCGCGGGGTTGTACCCGATGTTGGACTCGTTGACGAGCTTGATGACGTGCTTGAAGAGGGGCGGGCCGACGATCTGGTTGCACACGACCAGCGCGACGATGCAAGCCGCAAAGTCGGGGCCCCACACAAAGTGGGGGGCGACCGACTGGGCGAGGCCGAGCGTGACGCCCGCCTGAGTGAGAAAGGACATCCAGTAGCGGTTGTAGTACTCGGCTGGCTGGCCGCCGAGCTGGCCGCCAATCCGCGAGCCGAGGACGATGAAGACGGAGCGCGAGCCGAAGAGGAGGATGCAGGCGGAGCGGTTGCGCCACAGCACGCCCAGGTCCATCGTGATGCCCGTGAAGGTGAAGAAGAGGAGGTAGATCGGGCCAGACAGGTCCGTCACCGCCTCGTGGAAGGCGTGGCCCCCCGCGGTCAGGTTGCTCGTCACGAAGCCGGCAACCATGCAGCAGACGAGCGGGTTGATCGCCGCGCGTCCCGCCGTCACCTCCTCGTACCGCTCGTCGAAGAAGAGGGCGAACCCGGTGAAGAGGAGGGTTGTCCGTTGCGCCACCGAGAGGAGCACCCCGACGGTGGCGCGGAAAAAGGAGGCCAGCGCGCCTGCGAGAAGGTAGGGGGGGCTCGAGAGGCAGGCTGCGACCAGGCGCAGAGGGAGGAGGCCAGCGCACCGCGCCACCCCTTCTCTCGCCGGTCTGGCTCGGGGATGGGGCAGGCGTAGATGAGCGGCATCGAGAAGCCGATCAGGCAACCGAGCACGACCGAGAGGAGGGTCTGCTGCACGAACTCGAGCAGCAGGCTTCCGCCGCCCTCCGCGCCGCCCTCGCCCGCGCCGCCCTCCTGCAGCGAGCTCACCACCAGCTGCGTGAGCGCGAAGAGCAGCACGACGACCACGTCCATCAGCACGGTGACGGTGAGGACGGTGGTGGTGAAGGGGCCCTTGGCGTGCAGCTCCTCGATGATTGCGATGGCGGAGGAGGGCGAGCGAGCGACCGCGAGGCAGGCGATGAGCAGCGCGGCGGACATCTTATCGTTGAGCGTGACGTCGACGAGGAAGGGGAGGAACTATTCACAGCTAGAGGTGTGAAGAGACGCTGTTCACAGCCTCGCTCTCCTGCCCGAGGAGGTGCGAGATGTACGATGTGTCCGAAGAGCAGCGTCGTCGTGATGGAGCCGAAGTAGGTGACGGTCACCAGCCCGCCGAGCACGCTCAGCGCGGCGGACAGGTTCTCGCGCACCTCGTTGAGGTGGAGCTTGCCGCCCGCAGACAGGCCGATGAAGCCGAGGGCAACATTGTTGAGCCAGGTGAGCTTGGCCGCCTCCTCGGCGGACACGATGTTTGTGCCGTACGGACCGGCGACCACGCCGAAGAAGAGGAAGGTGGTGATGGCGGGGAAGCCCAGCCCGGACAGCAGCGAGCCAAAGGTGTGCGCAGACATCCCGACGATGAGGAGGAGGAGGAGGGCGGGCGCGATCTCGCTGGAGCACTCGGCCACGCAGCCGGCGAGCCAGCAGTGCACCAGGCCCGCCTTCGCCTTGCACACCTTCTCGCCGAGGCCCGGCGAGTGCCGTTGCGCCTCGGACGCGTGATGCTCTTGCTGCTGCTGCTGCTGCGGCAGCGGCAGCGGCTGCGCCTCCTCTTGCGGCTCGCTCTCCGCCTCGCCGTGCGCCTCGCCGGGCCCAGGCTCTTCCGCCGGGTCCACCTCCACCGCCTCCGCCTCCACCGCCTCCGCCTCCACCGCCTCCACCGCCTCCACCACCGTCACCGCCTCTGCTTCTGCGTCCGCTGCCTCTGCGCTCGTTTCCGCCCCGCCCGACTCCGCCGCCGCGCCGGCCAGTTCCGCGGGTTCGGCGGGCTCCGCTGCCTCGGCCGCTGGCCGAGGCGCAAGCTCCGCTCCGGCGTCGCCGCTGCCGCTCTCGGCGATGGGCCAGGCCGCCGGGACGAAGCAGACGCTGCCGCAGTCGGCCTCAGCCTGTGGCCGGCACTCTCCTCGGTCGGTGCAGAGGACCGCTCCAGCCAGGAGATCGAGACCCGCGCAGGACGAGACCGATGCGCAGCTCAGTGTAGGAGGTGCCTGAGGAGAAGGAGAGGCGGGCAGCGGCAAAAGGGCGGCATCATCCTTGTCCTTCAAAGCGCGCGAGCCGGCGCCGACAGGGAATGTCGTCGCTGCTGCGACGAGTGCCCTGATCGCGGCCCCGCGCATCGGCAACAAAGCGAGCGGCCCGGACAACGCGCGAGCGGTCGTCGCAGCGGATTTTCCACAAGAAGAATTTCCACCTGCAAAGATTGCGGACCGCTCCTCATTGCAAACCCTGTCAGGAGAGTCCTCATCCGGGAATGTACGTCGCCACATACACTAGAGAGAAAAGTTCATTTTTTAGAGAGAAGAGAGAGAGCACACTGAGAGAGCATACCTAAAACTGAGAGAGCAAGGACGAATGGCGTCGAACTGGCGATCTCGTAGCAGCGGAATCTGCGCCGGACGACCGGACCTTCAGCGGACGTTTCCCGAGTCCGTCCCAGAATTACCAGGAGCTGGCCGCGAGCATGGACGAAAGCCACAAGGACTCGAGCCAGTTCTGCGACTTACTAAGGTTGAAAAACCCGCACTCGTGCGCAGCCTTTGACCTCAGCGCGCAGCTCGGTGACGGCCGGCGATCCGCGCTCATCGTAGTTGACGTTCAGCGCTGTTGGTACTCAGACAGCCCAGGTGGCCTCGCGAGGGCTGCCTTCCCTCTTCTGCCAGACCGGACAGCAGCCCTGCTCACAACTGCGCGGCTTCACGATGTGCGTGTCGTCCACGTGCGTGCGAACTATGAGCGATCGCCGCACGTGGCCACGATGCGCCGCCTCAACCCCTCACTCAACAGGGTGCCCATCCTTCCAGAGCCAGAGGCGTGGGCCAAAGAGATCGAGGGCGAGCTGGTGGTGATGAAGTCGACCTTTGACGGCTTTTTCCGGACGGAGCTCGAGGCGTGCCTGTGCCGTTTGGGCGTGACGCGGGTCCTTGTTTGTGGCCTCATCACCTCGGCGTGCGTGCTCAGTACCGCCCTCGGGGCCTTCCACCGCGGCTTCGACGTGCTGCTGGTCGAAGACTGCTGCGCGGACCGCTCTCTGGCGAGGCACCAAGCGACGGTTGCCATGTATGACCAATATTGCTTCCGCAGCGTGAGCACGCGTAGCATCTGCGAGATGCTGCCGCACATGACGGGCCAATCCGGAGCAGCGGCTACGACAAAAGCTGCAGGCAAGGCAGCGACGGAGGCAGTGGCAGCGCTTGAGGGATCGCAGTTGCCTACTCGCTTCTGCCCCTCGCCGCTTACGGTGAGCTCCGATGTGGACGAGGGCGAGGAGGTGGAGGAATCGGAGGGCGAGGATGTGGAGGCGGCGGCAGCGCCTGAACCGTTGCTAAAGCTGGACCTCGCAAAGGCGGTTCGCATCCGAGATCTCGCACGCACAGGCAGGGTTGTTGGGTCACTGCAAACTGCCGAGATTAGGCGTCCCTCTCGCCGTGCTCGACGCTGGACGACCTGCGGGGCTCATACCTCTTCCCGCCCTCGCTCCTCCCTCGCCCGTCGAGCTGAACCCGCCCTCTAATCACAACTCACATCGGCCCATGTCTCTACCCGTACCGTCCCTCTGACGCCCGGCACACTTGTGTACCCTGTTCCTACATGCACAACCACCCTTACATCTTTCACCCCCTCGTTCCTGAATCGAGATGTACCGACCATTCGCTCACTGTCCAATCTACTTTCCCTCTCTGTTCCTGTCTCGTCCTGACTCTCTGACTGCCACGTGCCAGTCTGGTGTGTCGCTCTGTTGTGTTCTTTCTTACTCGTCACGCTTACGGCGCATTTGTGCTAATAGCTGCTTTCGCCTTCTGCCGCTTCCCCAAGGCTTCCGTGGCACGGTCATTTTTAAAACCGTGCTGTCCGAGCGTGTGCCGTGTCGTGCCACCTCTCGTCTCTCCTCTGTCGTGTGTGAGGTGTTGGGAGGAAATTGCTAGATATCAAATTTGCTTCTGGTCTACCCAGCCCTAGCGACCCAGCGCACAGGTGCGGGGCCCGCCTCTGCGCCATGGCTCTGCGCCACTGCGCCAAGCCGTCGCTGACTAGAGAGCGCGACCCCGCTGTTCGCGCCCGCGAGAGCGAGGCGAGACGTCAGACGAGTAGATAGAGGCCTGTGTCCCGTTTGGCTGTTGCCGCCGAGAGGACCACAGACGCAGCGCGCACCTCTCCACAAGCAAGAACGATAGCACTACATTGATGCCGATGAATCCAGAGACGATCATCGACACGCACGGCGGCTCGGACTGGCAGCTGGCTCACCACGGTGAGCTGCCCCAAGGCTCTCGCTCCAACCTCCACATGAACATGCCTCGGAGACCGCGCGTTCGAACAGTCTCGCCCCACGCCCCGACCCCCACCCGTCACTGGCTCGATCTCACGCAAGCCCCGCCTCGGCGAGCTTCTTCTGTGCCATCGCTAGCTGCGCCTCCGCCGCGGCCAGCTTGGACTGCAGCTCGTCTGGCGGTGCCTAGTTCCACAGCCCACCAGCCGTCACCGCGGGAGCTGAGATCGCGGCTCGAGAGATCGGCGAGGAGAGGAGGGGAGGAGGGGAGGAGGGGAGGAGGGGAGGAGGGGAGGAGGGGAGGAGGGGAGGAGGGGAGGAGGGGAGGAGGGGAGGAGGGGAGGAGGGGAGGAGGAGAGGATGGCGCCTGGTCTGCGGGCGGAGGAAGCGCTCCTCCTCGCACCAGACTCTCGCGCACCATGCGCTCCACCTGCTCGCAGGCGCAAAGCTCCCTCAGGGGACGGCCGAGCGGCCGCGAGGTCTCGGGATCGCGACATCGAGCCCTCTCAGCTCTCGGCCGCATCTCCGCATCTCCGCATCTCGACCGCTCTCGACCACATCTCGGCGGCATCTCGGCGGCATCTCGGCGGCATCTCGCGTCTCTGCGCGCCTCCTCCTTGAAGGGGTCCCTCTCGCCCTGCGCCTGCTGCTGCGGCGGGTACTGCACCTCGGACAAGTACGGGGAGTACGCCGCAGAGACCTTTGGCTTTGGCGGCGCGCCGCTCAGCACGCTCAGCGGGTCGGTGGACTCGTCCAGCAGCCACGGGTCCGAGGCGGCGGGAGGCGCTGCGGCAATCACGGCGGGCGCCGACGCCGGCAGCGCCGGCTTTGCGTCTGCCGCCCGCTTGACGGCCGCTGTGCGCGCCGCCTGCTCGCGATTGCGGCGTGCCTCGACGCGCCGCTCGACCTCCTCGTTGATGTCGCCGAGCAGCACGTGCCGATCGTCCCGCGCGCCGCACTTTGCGCAGCGCACCGCCTCGATGTCGTTCCAGCCGTAGATGGGATCGCCAGCGGCGTTCTTCCGGCCGCCGGGCTGCGTGAAGACAAAGCCGTCGCAGATGTGCTCGCCCTCCTCGTGGGCGCCGCGAATATAGCCCATGATGTCCACATTCTTGGCGTTGACGGTGCCGTTCATAAGAACTCTCGGAAGCACTCGCGAACTAGGTAGGGCGAGGGGCGAGAGGAGGCTGGCACGAGCGAGCGAGAGAGAGGCTGGTCCACAAAGAGGGGCGAACGAAGAGAATTTCCTAGGCGCGCAGAGAGGCTGACTTGGCGGCATGAAGGTTGCAGCGAGGATCGCCTAGGGACTGCGAAGAGAGATAGAAAGAGGCAGACGCCCAAGGGTTATTAGGGTGGGCGACGGCTAGCACCACACTCCTCTCCTTAAAATCCCTGCCTGTGTGGTGGCGCGGTGGCGGCGTCCCGTTTGTTTGTTTGGGCTCAACGAGGTTTGCCTCTCGCACCCCGTCTGTTTTCCTTTCCTTTTTTCTCTACAGCACCCTCTCTTTTCCTCTCTATTTTCCCGGGAAAACTCCGTGGAAATCGTCAAATTTTTGGCTCTGAGCCGAGTCTGAGGCTGGTTTGGGCCCAAAATCAGCCAAATTTTAGGCCAAATCGGCAAAATGCCGGGAATTTCGCGGAGAAACCGTGTATACCTGGAAATTACCCTGCGACCGCCTGGGTATTTTGTCGATTTCCTCAATTTTGCCTCAGATTTTGCCCCAGACGCCAGACCAGCTCTCAGACTCAGGGAAACTCGCGAGTTTCTAGAATGGAGCACCAAACACCCTCTGTTTTCCCTGGAAATTTCCGGAAACGCAAAGTGCTGGGGACCCTCTGTTTTCCTTTTTGTTTTCCGGAAAACCTCGTTGAGCCCAACGTGCCGTCCTCCCATCCCTCCCTTGGGTTGTCTGTTTTCTTTCTTCTTTCTTTACTGCTGGCGCGCGCTAGAGCGCGCTCATTACTTCGTTGTGATAAAAAGAATTTCTAAAGCCTTGTCGTTCTTTCTTAGCGCCTATTCACGGCATGGAGGGTGAGCCACGCTGAACGTGCTGAACGTATAGAGCCGAACCGGGGGAAGCCGGGGAAGACGACCCCGAGGAGGACGAAACACCTGTGCGCTGTGGTAATCCCGTCGTCAGCTGTCACGATGCACCCGAAGGGGACCCCAGCGCCAACATCATCGGTGGAGGTACAAGTGTTCGAAGAGAGAGTGGACCTGAGCAACGATATGACTTGCTGAGGGAGGGTGTAGAGGATGTAGAGTGTAGAGCGCTGTAGAACTGTAGAGCTGGAGAGCGCTGTAGAGCTGTAGAGCTCTACATCCGCCGCGTGACGAGGCGCGTGCGTTGTAGAGCGATGTACAGGCGCTCTACAACGTGAAATCTCTACAACAAACTCTACATCGTAAGCGGCGATAGGAACGAGGCACGGTCGCTCTCCGACATGAGGCGCGTTGCACTTGCCAGTGGCAGTGCTGCCCTGGCCTTCTGTCTGCCCGCCCAATGGGTGGCAGGTGCCTCTGCTGCTGTGGCATGCCTCACGGCTGCGACTGGCCGGCGCCTCGGCGCGTCAGCTCGGCTTGGCGTAGCGATCGTGGCCAGCGCAACTCGCCTGGACTCAACGCTCAGCCAGGAGCTCCCGCACGCGTGCTGGCGCGAGTCATGGCGCATGCAGCGCGTCTGAATGCTCGCCTCGCCTCGCGCAAATGTGCAACCGTCCTCGCAGCCGACAGTCCACCGCCTGCTAAAGAAGCACAGCGACGAATGCGGCACCGGCGACGCATGGCAGGCTGGTCACAGCGTCACCAGCCAACGGCTGGTGACGCTGTGTTGCCCTTGAGCTAGTCCTCCCCCGGTCGCCTAGCCTCTGCGCTGTCTGGCGGACGCCTGTATGCCATGCGCGCGGACCACGCTTGCGTGGATTTGTGGCTGGCAGGCTGACCCGTGTGCGGGGTAACCCGCGCGCGGGGAAGCTTCACGGGTTCGAGTCGTCAAACATTGAGCAGCGGAGGTGTGCCGAGGGGGACCGGGAGGCGGTAAGTCGTCGTCGCCCGGCGCTGCTTGCAGCACCGTGGCGAGGGCGCTAAGAGGTTCCTCTTTTCCGCGCCCCCCCCCCCCGCAAGGCGCGCGATACAACAATCATGACGCAGTTATAGGGTGTTGTGTGCCGTCAGAGGGACTCTCTGTGTGTCAGTGATAGTCAGGGCCGTCCATCGGGGCTCCAGTAAGCTCGGAGACACCCCATTAGTGCGACTCGACCTCTTTGAGTCACTGCCTTCCCGGCGGTTTGGCTGTAAAGCCTCTACAACAAACTCTATACATACAGCAAAATCGCGCTCTACATCGCTCTACAACGCACGCGCCTCGTCCCGCGGCGGATGTAGAGCTCTACAGCTCTACAGTGCTCCAGAGCGCTCTACATCTCTACAGCTCTACAGCGCTCCACACTCTACATCCTCTACACCCTCCCTCAGATGACTTGGCACTTGCTTGGCGGCAAATGATCTGTCGCGGGGGAGGTCATTGGCCCTCTGCAAAGGCGCCGGGCGGTGTTCGCCGGCGCCTCCGTTGAGCAGTGAGCCTGCGGGTGGCCTACCAAAATGAGCGCCGTGCCGAAAGAATCGAAAAGAAACGAGAGTGCACGCTTCGGCCGATACACAGGACCAGCACAGCACAAGGATCTCTCAATGCTGTGGCGCGTGCGGCAGCACGGCTTCGCGGCGCGGTGCCGGGCCATGTCGACGTCCGCGCAGCAGGCTGCCACGCGCCGTCCCTTCCTCCTCGGCCTTGGCGCTGCGACTGCGACAACGGCTGCGGCGACAATCACTTTTTCTGTGACGCTCTGGCCGCTGGCTGACCTGCTCGGCGCGCCGCCACTCATATCGATGTCGCTGGGCGCGGCCGCCTCTAAGGAGCCCGCGCTCGAAGCTCTCGGCCGAGGCGACCTCAAGGACGTGGCGAGGCTGCAGGCGCTGCTCGACGGCGGCGAGGATGGGAAGGGTGGCCGCATCGTCTCCCTGACAGGGAGCTCCCAGTCGCGCCGCTCCTTCCTACTCTCCCACGCGGCGGCCGGCAGGCCCGTGTTCTACTTGACACTGCGCGAGGCAACCTCGACGCACGCCCTGCTGTCGACGACGGCGCAGCAGCTCAACCGCCGCTCGGCCGAATGTCGCGATGACGCGTCCCTGACTTGGCCGTGGTGGCATGTCCGGACAGGTGCAGCAGCTCTACGCGCCGCTCGGCCGGCTGGGCGACTTCTGCGCCTGCGTCGGCCTGTACTGGATCATGCTGCAGGCGCGTGCCGCTGGGAGGGCTCTACGGAGGGTTCGTGCACCTCTCCCCCTGGGACGCAAGATCTCTTCTCCTGCAGGACCTCGTGGCGCATGACCCGGCGCACGTGCGGGCTGTCAACTTCTCGATCGTGCCTCAGCCGCCGCCTCTCCACCCCGCCTCAGCTCAGCATTCGCAGCGCGCGCTCTCTCTCTCTTCTAGGTGCTCTCGCAGCTCAAGCGCGGCCTCGCCGCCCTCAGCGGGGGCGGCAAGTGGGAGCAGGGAGGGTGGGTGTTGGGTGGCGCCGCGCCGCTGCGGCCTCTCCTCGTGGCACAGCCTCCCCTAGATGCGCTGACACCACCCCCTCTGCTCCGAGGAGGGCTCGAGATGTTGCAGCCGCGCTGCATTCGCCACCCTCGTGTGCACACGATGCTCCGAGGTGCACTCAGGGAGACTGCCCCCCCCCCCCACACACCACACCCACACACCCACACACACCACACACACACACACACACACACACACACACACACACACACACACACACACACACACACACACACACACACACACACACACACACACACACACACACACACACACACACACACACACACACACACACACACACACACACACACACACACACACACACACAGTGGTGCGTGCTCCAAGGTCGAGCAGCTGCACGTGCCGACTGACGCGAGCGCCTGCCCCGGCGGGGATGGCCTCGGCCCGATGTGCGCGTCGGTGCGCCAGTTTCTGCTCTCCTGCGCGCTGTCCTTCCCGCCCACCGATACAGAGAGTTGCGGATCTTCACACTGCATCCGCCGTGAACAGGCGCGCTCGACCTCGCCCTCGCGGATGTCGTCGTGACGTCCGCCGGCGGCTCGCCCGCCGCTGCGGCGGCGGAGGCGGCCTGGAAGAGCGGGTACGGCGCTGGCGCCGCGGAGCGCTCGCGGCTCTACTACGGAGCCACGGCGGTCGCTTTCTCGCAGCCAGAGCCGGCCGAGGCGTGGGTCGCCGCCCTCGGCCGAAGTGGCGCGGGCACGGCGTGAGGCGGCGGCGCGGTGGCTCCTGGCTCGGCCCGTCGCGCGATCCAGTGTGTCGCAGGCCCGCAGCAGTTTAGCTCCGTGGTCCATCATGGGGAGGTGGAGAGGAATGTCGCGGCACGGCAGTGCGGGGCCGCCGCGGCCCCGCACGCCGCTTTCCAGCGCCTCCGCTTCGGAGCATTCTCATAAAGTATGCATACGTAAGCGCCTGAGCTAGACGACGCCCGTTTTCGCCTGGCCGCGGATTAGGACGTGGTACGGCTCGGATTGGAGCCGTTTTGGGCGAGCATCAGCGTTCCCACTCGCGAGTGCCTCTCGCTCTCCTCTTTTGTAATATGGCATTGGCACATTTTGATATTTTTGTGTGTTGTCGTTACGGGATACGGCATACCCATATAGAACGGGGTAGCGGCCGGGTGTAGAGGGTGCGGACCGATGTCTGCGCACCCGCGTAGCGCGTGTAGAGGGTATAGCGACGCTGGGGGGCCTAGCGAACTGCGAAGACGGAGATACGGCGTTTAAAATATAAAAAACTTTATCCGACGCCGCGAGGAGCGAATTTCATGTATTTCACTCTCTTCTCCACACACACGATCATCATCATCATCATCATCATCATCATCATCATCATCATCATCATCATCATCATCATCATCATCATCATCATCCTCATCCTCATCCTCATCCTCATCATCATCATCATCATCATCATCATCATCATCATCATCATCATCATCATCATCATCATCATCATCATCATCGTAAAAAACCTCGGACATTTTACCAACTCCTTGGCGACGTGCGCGTCGCGTCGCCAAGGCTCTGCGACCTCGGTCGTACAATCGGCGACCTCGGTCGCACAACCGGCCGGATGCGCGGGTTTTCAGCCAGGTTCCCGCGCACCGGCCACAAACTCGACTCGCACAGCAAAAAAACCCGGTGCTCGCGCGCTGCTCCCACGCTTGACCACACACTCGCTGCACTGCTCAAAGCCAACCCTACCTCACTGGCCGCCTCCAACACTGTCCCGCGCGTCTCGCGCCCCAACTGACAACTCATCTCCCGCGCACCGGCCACGAACTCGACTCGCACAGCAAAAAAATCCGGACCACGAAGCGCCGCCCGCGCCCATTGACCCCCCAATCAGCCTCGACAATCAGCCCTCTTGCTGTCCCTCAATCCCCACCCGCCAGATGTACTGCCCTCGCCCACCCAATACTCTCACCCTCCTGACCCGGACAGTCCAGGTACAGGAAAAGCGGGGAGCGGGGCCCGATCCAAGGAGCACCCCGTCGGCCCGGGAGGGCTGTGAATTTCGGCGCGAGCGGAAGGCTGCCTGCAGACGCTCAGCCCCCGGCTGAGCTGCCGAATCCTCCCGGCTAATCCCCTGACCTGCCGCCTGAAACGGGACGACATTACACCACCTCACACACACTCCCCCCTCAGGGCTAAGCAGTGCGCAAGTCCACCCGAACTCTAGGCGAGGCGTCGACCACTCCTTCGGAATAGCTCTGTCAGTGGCTGCACTAGACGCCCAGAGATGGCGCGCGGCGCGGGCGGATGACTGGAAGAGAAAATGCGGAGAGGCTAGCTCGCAGGTAGATGTGCTCAGCCAAGGGTAGGGGATGAGGGGAATGTGTCAGTGTGGGGGGTGCACCAACCGCAGAGCGTTGTGTTTTGCCTTTAAGACTTGAACAGTTTTTTCACACACACGATCGTATGTGCGCTCTCTGCTGAGTGCTGTGTGTACACAGCCAGAGACAGGTCAGTCAGGTCAGAGAGCCGTGTACGGAGATCTTGGGCGCGCCTGCTCGCAAGTCGCAGCTCTCTGCAGCAAGCCAGCACGTTCTCACACATGTCACCATGGCGGGCGCAAGTGAGATCAGCACCCTGCATGCCGCGTAGACCATAGTGCCTTCCTCTCGCGCGCCACAGCTGCCCCTGGGGAACGCATACGACCCCCCGGCGATGCACGGGGGCTGGCTGCTCGCCTCTGGCCTCGCGCCGCTCGCCATCACTGCGGGTAGTCGAGGTGGAGGAGGTAGAGGAGCAGCTTCAGCTTGGCCTCGCGTCCGAGCACGGGCGCCACGGCGGACCCCCTCCCCTTCGGCGAGAGCTCTAGCTCCTCGCCGTCGTCGCCGCCCGCCGCCGCCGCGGGCTCGGGCCCCTCCAGCTCCCGGATGGCGTGCTGCGCTGCCGCGAGGTGCACCGAGACCTGCCCCGAGACAAAGAGCTGCCGGTGCTGCAGCTTGGAGAGCCTGCAGAGCAAAGGCTGTGCGTGACAAAAAAGAGAGCAGGCCTGCGCTGCGTGTGCTGCGGCTGGGAGAGCCCAAAGTCAAACGGAGAGAAAGAGCCGCCGCAGATGGTGACGATCTGCGGCGCGAGGGAGAAGAAAGAGGGCAGCCGCGGCGGAGGCGCCGGCGCGGCAACCTCGCCCGTCCCGGCGGCTGCGAGCGGCGCCGCCTCGCCGTCCGCCGCCGGCGCGGCCGCCTCGCCGCGGCCGCGCTCAAGCACGAGCGCCTTGAGCTCGCCCCAGGAGCGGGGCCATGCGCCCCTCCCGCCCACGGCCGCCTCCTCCCCGCCCGTGGCCATCCGGATCTGGAGCGCGAGGTTCGCGTCCATCATCGTCTGCATGCACGTCATCGCCAAGTCGACCGCGTCGCGCACGGGATAGATGCCGCTCCCCTGCAGCCGCGCCTCCATCTCTTGCAGCTCGGCGATGATCTCGCCTGAAGACCAACCACTCATTCGTAGAACGGAGCCCGCCCTTCTCTCGCAGCTCGGCGGCGGCCTCGCCCGTCGTGCTCGACGGCTCGCCGCGCTTGAGTCGGTGCAGCGACCCGAAGTTGTACATATACCACGCCTTTGGCCGCACCATCAGCCCGAGCCTGCCGCCGTCGTCTGGCAGCGCGTTCATCGGGAAGTCGTTGCACATGCCGCCGTCGCAGTAGACGTGCCTGCCGTACCGGAAGGGCTCCATCAGCCCGGGCACGCCCATCGACATGCGGACCGCCACCCGCAGGGGCAGGTCCGGGTCCTGCTCGCAAAGAGTGCGATCATCAAGAGGAGTTGGGACCGCCGGGTTGCAAAGGCCCGCCCGGGCCCTGGCGTGGTTAGTATGCACGCGGGCGAGAGTGTGAGCGCGGCATCTCTTGTGCAGCACAAACAGGCGCGTCTTCCGGAGTGCTTGCTAGAGCACATGGCATCTGCTCGGCATAGAGTGGCATCTAGAGTCGCGGGTCCGTCTCGGGGGTCAGCTGCCGCTCGCGGCCCGTGTCCAGCTCGGAGACGAGGATCACCACCCGCTTGTCGAACTGCGCCTTGACCTACCTCACACCCACCCCGCTTCACAGCCTTCTGCCCTCGCCACCCGCTCGCCGCTGCGCCCGGACCTGGGCGAGGGTGATGTCCGCAGAGCCAGCGGGGCTCTGCGCGAGCGCCTCGCCGACCATCCGCTCGAGCTCGGCGCCTGACGGAGAGGAGCGCGAGCCATCACCGCAGACATGTGGGGCACGCTCCTCGCCAGGAGCTGGGCGGCCAGAGTTGATGCCGGGCCCGTTGCCGGCGGAGAGCTCGCGCAGAGCCCACGGCACCGCGCCTTGGCGGCGGATGACTTGGAGGAGGGTGAGGACGGTGTTGCCGAGGGCGCGCAGCAGAGCGCCCAGCTCCGGGTAGGCAAGGCGGTGGAATGGCATCTTGCTCACCTGCGAGCAGCAGCTGTGAATGGAGACGGGGGAGGCGGGTGGGCGGTGGTGGCACCTCGCTTGCTCACCAAATCGTAGATGTCCTCGGCCTCGAAGCCGACGGAGAGGCAAGCGACGATCACCGCGCCGGCAGAGACGCCCGCGAGCGTGGTCAGCTGGTCGTACTTGAGGCCGTACCTGCAGCGAGGGCGACTGCTGCTGACCCAGGAAGGTGGCCCTGGCCGGCCGGCTGTGGCCGGGTGAGTCGCCGCACCGCTCGAGCGCGAGCAGGGCCCCGACGTGCGACGCTGCGAGGATGCCTGGGGAGGAGGAGGAGGAGGAGCGTGAAGCAGCAGGAAGAGCAGCCAATCACAATCACAATGGCAATGAGAGAGGATGCCTGGAGAGAGAGGCGTGGCGGCGATGGGAAGGGGACGCCGCTAGGCCGCCTCCACGCGCGAGGGCGTGAGGGTGCCGCAGCCGTACACTGCGAAGGAGGTGGCGCTCCCCACGTGCGCCGCAAAGTCGGAGTGCGCCTGGTCACAGCGCGCCGCTGTGAAGAGGGGGAGGGGAGAGGAGGGGAGAGGAGGGGAGGGGAGGGGAGAGGACGAGAAGAGGGGAGAAGAGGAGAGGTTAGGAGAGGAGAGGAGAGGGGAGGGAAGAAGAGAGGAGTGTGCCAGGCATCGCCTCTCCGTGCTCTGCCCCCTGCACGAGCCGGACCGCCCTCTCGAGCTCCGCCGTCACCTGGCCACACGCCCCAGCTGTGAACAGGCGCTGCCTTGCACGCTCACCGCACCTCGAGCCGCGGCCCGTCGCCCTCTTCTCGTGCGCCGCGGCGCGGGCCTGCTCCCTCTCCTTGAGCACCGGGGCGGCGCCGAAGCGCGGTGCAGTGCCCATGTACACCCAGGCGCCGCAGTAGGCCGCGGCGGCGAGTGGCAGCAGCAGCAGCAGCAGCGGCACGAAGATGGCGCCTGGGGGCAGGGGCAGGGGCACGGTCAGGGCCAGCGGCGGCGGCGGCGGCAGCAGCGAGACACGGAGATGGCACCCGACCAGAGGAGGAGGAGGAGGAGGGAGACGAGCCCGCCCGCCGCCATGGCGCAGAGCACGCCGAAAGCGAGTACGGTCGCCGCCACACGGGGAGCCTGGTACGGTGAGGTGCAGTCAGTAGTCAATCTCGAATGGAGAATCGCTGAGCAGGCGCCGCCTGCACGGTGAGGTGCTCCGACGGCCACGCGGGAGGAGGGACGAAGAGGCCGAGCAGCCATGGGGCGCGCACGAGGAACTTGAGCTCCGTGTTTCGCACGACCTGAGAACGAACGGTGCGACTCGTCAGACGCGAGAGGTGTGAAGAGAGGCGGCTGGAGCTCTGCTCTCTGCTGGGACCGAGAAGACCTCCGACTTTGTGGTGGGGACCGCCGCACGCAGCTCCTGAAGGTGACGCGAGCCAGCGTCCACGACCGCCTCCTTGAAGGCGACCGCCTGCGCGTGGACCTGCGGCGGAAGAGGATGCCACGGCGGCGGCGGAGGAGGCTGAGCGGGCGAGAGCGGGCGGGTGGAGACGCTGCGGTGTGGCGAGAGGGCGCGCAAGCTTGGAGGAACGCGGGCCGCCTTGAGAGCGTCCTCCTTTGCTCGGTCGGCGTGCTGTGCGAGGTTGGCGTGGATGCCATGCAGGTCTTTCGCGGCCGTCGGTGGCGCCGGGGACGCTCGCCGAGAGCCGGGCGGGGAGAGGTCGTAGTCGTTCTCGTCCTCCTGCATCGGGGGCGGCGAGACGACCTGTCTGGGAGAAGAGAAAACCGGCCGAATCTATCACTCACCCACAGAAAACATACTCACCTCATGACAGCAAGCCTGCCACCCCTGTGTCAGTGTGCCTGTGGTTGCGAGAGGCTGCCAGTGAGAAGCTGGAGGCAGGTCGCTAGATTGAGATGAGACCGCCAGTGGAGTTGGGAGTCCATTGTTGGTTATAAATCTCTCTCTCTCCGAGCACCGGCCACCGCGCTGCGAGCCTGTCGTGTCCCTTGTCAGGAGCATCGGAGAACCCCCTGTGCCCCTGATCGTTCTTCCAAAATCCTGCTCGTGCAGGTGTGGACCCTCCCTGTCCTCCTCCCCCATCCACACACACACACACACTCCCCCATCCCTCGTTGTTTTGTTTTCTTTCTTTCTTTAAGCAAGCGAAGTCCCGTCAAAATTAGTTTTAAGCCAGTGCGCCCCATCGATGCGCGCCAGCCGACTAGATTTCTTTTAGTTAGTACAGCTGTCAGGCCGAAGACGCGCGCCGCAAGTAGACACCTCCGGGCATTACATACATGGCCTCCTCTTCGTCCGAACGCGTGCCGGTCACGGTCCTCACCGGCTTCCTCGGCAGCGGCAAGACGACGCTCCTCAACCACATCCTTACGGCGACGCACGGCAAGAAGATCGCCATAATAGAAAACGAGTTTGGGGACGTCGGCATCGACGACGCGCTCATCCAGAAGACCTCAAAGTTCAGCTCGGAGGAGGAGATCATCGAGGTTCTCAACGGCTGCCTCTGCTGCTCTGTACGCCAAGATCTCGTTGTATTGCTCAAGGGCTTTGCCGAGCGCGCCGCGGCGGGCGAGCTGAAGCTCGACGCGATCATCATCGAGACGACGGGCATGGCGGACCCGGCGCCGGTCGCGCAAACCTTCCTCATCTACGATGAGATCAAGGCCTTCGCGCGCCTGGACGGCATCGTCACGATGGTGGACGCAAAGCACGTCGAGCGGCACCTCGACGCCGTGAAGCCGGAGGGCGTCGTCAACGAGGCGGTGGCGCAGGCCGCCTTCGCCGACCGCCTGCTGCTGAACAAGACGGACCTCGTCACGGAGGCGGACCTCGCCCGCATCGAGGCGCGGCTGAGAGGCATCAACGCTTTTGCGCCCATCCGGCGCTGCTCGCGCGGGGACGTGTCGGTGGACTCGGTGCTCAACATCCACGGCTTCGACCTCCAGCGAGCGCTCCAGACCAACCCGCAGCTGCTCAACCCGGAGAACGCGCCGACGCAGCACGACAAGACCGTCACGAGCGTCTCCCTCGACCAGGGGGCGCCTCGCCACATGCGGACGGTGCAGAAGGGTGACCTCGACTTTGAGCTCGCGACGGACTTCCTCGAGTACATCGCAGAGTCGCAGGGCGAGGACATCTACCGGATGAAGGGCGTCCTCGCCGTCGCGCACTCGCAGCAAAAGCAGCGCGTCTAGCGCAGCGGGTCTCGCGTCCAAGACACGTCCGTGACATCTCCTCGACATGTCCTTCAGGTACATCTACCACGCGGTGCACATGACCTTCTCCGGCGGCTTCGAGGAGGCGTGGCAGCCGGGCGAGCCGCGCGAGTCAAAGATGGTCTTCATCGGCAAGGGGCTCGACGAGCAGTTCCTGGCCAGCAGCGTCCCTGCCTGCGGCAGCCTCGTTGTTGCCACTCTCATCGCTTCCTGTCATGCCAGGCGAGCACCTTCAACAACTGCCTCGCCACGCCAGAGAACCTGACGCGGAAGGCGAGCACGCTCCGCTTCAAGCCCGGCGACGCCGTCGAGTGCCGCACCACGGGCTTCGACGCGGAGGAGGGGGAGAGGTGGGCGGCGGGCACGGTGGTGGAGGCGCCGCGCCGCGCAGAGTCCGCGCCGCCGGTCAGCTTTCATGTTGCCCCTCTCACACCGTCCTGTTGCAGGTGCTGCACCGCGCGGACGACATGGCCCCGGGGGAGGTTGCGCCGTACCGCGTGCGGCTCGAGGACGGCAGCGAGCTCACCGTCCTGACGGACGAGGGCAGCGAGATCGTCGGCGCGAACAGCCACGGCGATGAGGACGGCGAGGAGGCGGGCGAGGGGTGCGAAGCGCAGGCGGCGCCGCAGCAGCAGCAGCAATTCCGGGTGCAGGTGCCGGACGGGGTGCATGCCGGGCAGGTGACCGACGCCTGCCTCTGCCTCTACCTCTGCATACCACTGCCCCTGCCCCTGCCCCTGCCCCTGCCCCTGCCTCTCTCGCTCTCTCGCTCTCTCGCTCTCTCGCTTCTTCCTCTCTCGCTCTCTCGCGCTCTCGCCCGCTCTCTCGCTCTCGCTCTCGCTCTCCCTCTCTCGCTCTCTCTCTCGCTCTCTCTCTCTCCCTCTCTCTCCTCGCTCCTCGCTCGCTCTTTCCTCACGCATCTACCCTCTTTCCCCGCGCCCTCCCCCCACACCACCCGCCTCTGTGCCTTCACAGGCCTTCCCAGCCACGGTCGGCGGGGGGCACCTCATCTTCCAGATCACCGTCCCGCCCGGCCACGGACCGGGCAGCTGGCTGACGGTCACCGCCCCCGTGGAGGCCACCGGCGGGGCAAGAGCCGGCGGCGGTGCGGAGGGCAGTGGCGCCGCCGCAGCCGGCAACTCGGCGGAGGGGACGCACGCGCGTACCACCCACCAGGCGGCTAGCGAGGGGGAGGCCGACCATGAGGCCGACGAGGCGAGCAAGCGGCACAAGGCGTGACGCAAGATCGCGTGGAGCATCCTGTGGCCGGGACTGCCGCGCTGGGGCTGTCCGTACACCGTTGAACGTGCGGGGCCACGCCTGGCACAACGTTCAACGATTCGATCTTTACATTGAACAAACGCGCCGTGCCCGCGGCGCGCGGCCGCGGGCTAGCCCGCGGGGTTAAAGTTTAACAGGCTAAGCCGCCGATGCCTGGGGCATAGCCATAGGGATAGGCCACAGCGTGCCCGACCACACACAAGTCAACTGTCAACTCATATAGCTGAAACAGAGGCGCGCTCGAGAGAACAGAGGTCGCACAGAGCCGACACCTCTTCTCCTCTGAGTCTGAGGGTGTGGTGACATGGTGTAATATGTGTGGTCTTGGTGGTGCCTTTCCCGCCCAGTCTAATGTGGGTGTGTGACTGTGGGGAGTACCTCCGCGCGTGTGTGGTGTCTGGTCCGTAGAGCTGTTTAACATTAACTTTGGGCCTCTAACAGTTGAGCGCTAGTGTTGGCTGAAATCCTTAACGTTGTTCAAGTGTTCACCCCAGCCCAAGCTGTTACTGTTTGTTACTGTTGTTACTGTTGTTCAGCGGTCAGCAAGCAGAAAATCCCAAAAAACCCGGGTAAAAGCTAAAACCCGAAAATACCTCTGGGTTTTCCCCGCGGATATTTTCGGGTTACGGGTATTACCCGCACTGGACGCTGGAGATCGTCGTGGGTCACTGCCAGGCCTTCCTTATTGTTGTTCAGCCGGCCTAACGTTAGCTACTGTTGTTGGGGAGCCCCACTGTTGTTCTGTTGTTTTACTGTTAACACTAATTCTAATATAGAGCAACACTGGACACTGTTCACACAGCTCCGTCTGGTGCGTGACGTGTGTGGATCCAGGGGGGGATGGCGCGCCGGGTGTCACATAGGAGAGGAGAGGTCCACGGACCACGCAACACCACACACTAAAATAAATTGTATTTTTATTCAAATTGTATAGAGTGACCCCTTGGCCAAAGTACAGGTTTCGATCCGGGCCACCGCAAATTTTGATCAGCAAATTTCGAGGGGCGGCCGCAAATTTTGAGGTAGATTTTGATTGTCAAAATGTGTCCGTCTTGGCACAGGATAGAGCATATAGGCGGCGAACACCCAGGTGCGCAGGGACATCGCGACTCTGCCCGCTCGCTCGACCCTTTTGCCGCGAGAGGGCGCCGGCCGCGTGTAAGAGGTGGCTGGCGCCCTGAGGCGGCAATTGGTGGCGTGGGGAGTGCGGAACGCTACTGGCGGCGTGACAGGGCCTCTCTCGGTTGCGTGTGCCGCCCATCGGCACGCGGGTGCGCAGACATCGCGCGACTCTGCCCGCTCGCTCGACCCTTTTGCCGCGAGAGGGCGCCGGCCGCGTGTAATCGTGTAAGGAGGTGGCTGGCGCCCTGAGGCGGCAATTGGTGGCGTGGGGAGTGCGGAGAACGCTACTGGCGGCGTGACAGGGCCTCTCTCGGTTGCGTGTGCCGCCCATCGGCACGCGGGTGCGCAGACATCGCGACTCTGCCCGCTCGCTCGACCCTTTTGCCGCGAGAGGGCGCCGGCCGCGTGTAAGGAGGTGGCTGGCGGCCTGGCGCCCTGAGGCGGCATTTGGTGGGGTCAGCGTGCGGTGCTGAGTCTTACTCGTCGGCGCTGGGGCCAGATCCCAGCGCAGAACTCTGCAACGCTGGCATACAAACACAAGGAGACTAACCCTAACCCTAACCCTAACCCTAACCCTAACCCTAACCCTAACCCTAGGTCAGAGCGTGTGGGGCTGAGTCTTAGTCGTCGGCGCTGTGGGGCCAGATACCAGCGCAGAACCCTGCAACGCTGGCATATACAGACACAACCAGACTACCCTGACCCTAACCCTAACCCTAACCCTAACCCTAACCCTCTAACCCTAATAACCCTAACCTAAACCCACCCCCCAACTCCACACCGCAAATTTGAAAGATCGTGTGCCCCGTCGTCCATGCTAGGACGTGTGTAACACTGACTGACTGACTGATGAAAATCAGGCCCGACTGCAAATTTCTTCAAAATTTTCGCAGGCGCTCCGCGCCTGCAGATTTTGAAATAAATTCGACAAAATTGGTACCTGGCCCAAGTGACCCCGCAGCACCGGGCCAGGCCACATCAAACCCAATCCGCGCGACGTTAATCATCGTCATTGTCATAGCTGAAGTCAGAGCCATACCACGGCGGGGGCGAGGGCGGCGCCTCGGCCTGCCCTCGCACGGCCACCCGAACCGCGCCCACCGCGAACGCTGCGATGCACACGCTGCCGAGGACGGCCAAGGCATGAGGCCACCATGCGAGCCGCCTAAACGCCAGCGTCTGCACGACGACTGCAGGCACGAGAGACGCCGAGAAGAGCAGCGCCAACTTGAGCAGCAGCAGCACGAGCGAGAGCAGGCCTTCGATCAAGAGGAGAAAGGCGCCGACGACGGCCGCCTCGCCGCCCTCTGCGTCGTTCTCGAGACCGACCCATTGAAACCACCAGTCCTCCGGCGAGACCTCGATGATTCCGAGCACGAGGGCAGCGGCGGAGGCAGCAGTGGAGGCGGCAGTGCCGACGGCTAGAGAAAGCAGCGCCGCCGAGGCCGCGACGGGATGCGACGGCACGGCGCAGCCCTTCCTCCCAAAGACTCGCGTGGCCGTGAGGGTGAGCTTGCGCGAGGTGGCGCTCGCCAGCCGAGCAGGGATGCTCGGCTGATTGTCGCCGCCTCTTGCGCGAGCCTCTTCGACTATCACGGTGACGCGTCGGTTGGTCTCCTCAGACACGCGCCGTCCCATTGCCACCCCAGAGGCCGAAACCACGGGCAGACCTAGCGGCACGGAGTCCGAAGTGCCAGCTAGGTCTGACTCCGCTTCGCCAGTCTTCATGATGGTCTGACCGAGCGACAAGCAGAAGGAGCGACGGCACGGAGTCCGAAGTGCCAGCTAGGTCTGGACCGGGCTCTTGCGGGGCTCTTCAGCGCGAGCGATTAGGCCAGGCCCGAAGCCTTACTCAAGCCAAGGTGGAGCACAGGGACAGGGACACCGTACTCACGTACTGACATCCTGCCCCGCGCCAGCCAGGGGCGGTGGCGCGCGCCGCGCCGGGACACTTTGGACCCGCAGCCTGGCATACGCCAGGCCACAGATCCGCCGGCAGAGCCTTAAAGCTGCATCCGCGATCCGCGCCGGCTCTCAGGAGAGATCCGGCGCGGTGCTGACCGCGTCCTCGCAGGCCACCGAGTTCACGATGGTGTCCGGAGGGAAACGGTGCAGCTGCGGCATGTCGCAGTGCGGCATGCCGCAGTGCGTCACACGGCGCTCCTGCAGCAGCGCGCGCGCGGTGGTGAGGAGGGAGCAAGCCCTTGAGCTGTTGGCGGAGTCCATCGCCCGCGCACGCGCGCCGGCCTTGAGGTGGTTCCACCAACAACTGGCCCAGGGGTTGAGACCCTGCGGCGTTCACGTACGGACCCGCCTCGGTATGGCTAACCTGTTGGCGAGCGGTGCCTATTGGCGCTGCGACGGCGACTGCCAGGAACGTGCAGAACACGCTCGCAAGCAGACCGTATGGCAAGGCCGGCACCGTGGCTGTGCGCTCAGCGAAGAGGACAGCCACCCTTTGAAGACGCTGATCTCGTTGGGTAGCATCATCTGTGGAAGTACAAACAAGTGTTCGAAGAGAGAGTGGACCTGAGCAATGATATGACTTGGCGGCAAATGATCGGAGTGGGCGTCAGAAGAGTCGTCCTTGCTCGAGGAGAGCTCGATAAACTCGAGGGGCCAAAATATGCCGCGAGGAGGGCAGAGCTGCGACGAAAGGCGAGAGAAGAAGCGAGAGCAGGGCGAGGCAGGCGGCGGCGGCGTCGCAGAACGAGGCAGAGGAGAGCGACGCGACAGAGGAAGAAGCGACAAGAGAGAGAACGAAGAGAGTGGGACGACCGCGAGGTGGCATGAAGGTTGCAGCGAGAATCGGCGAGAGACTGCAAGAGAGATAGGAAGAGGCGGACGCCCCCAAGGGTGGGCGACGGCTAGCGCATCACACCCCTCTCCTTAAAATCCCTGTGTGGTGGCGGCGTGCCGTCCTCCCATCCCTATCGTCTGTTTTCTTTCTTTCTGGGCACGGGAGGGCGCGCACTGGTCACTAACAAACACCAAAAAGAAAAGCAGGCCCCACAGAAATCCATGCATGCCTTTCTGGACACAGGGTGGCCCGCCACAACGACCCCTGGAATTGCGACTCGCCGCTTTCCTCCCGCTCATCTGTCCAGCGTCCACCCATACCGCGTTGGTGTCCAGTCCGAGCCTGGCTGTTCTTCACCTTTCTACCTACCTACCTCCCGCTGTGATCCTGTGTGAGCTCTGTGTCTTGGTTTGCCAACAACATACCTAAAGAAAAAAGTACGTATCTACCTAAAACAGAAAGGAAAGTTTGGTTCCCCACTTTCGACCACTTTTCAGAGCGCAAACAACTGCGCAATCGTTGCGGGCTCAAGCGCCCCCACACCCCACACCCCATCAGGTGAGAGGACCCTCTACGGGGATGGGCAAGCACAGCCAAAGCCCGAGGTCAGACTCGTTTGCCAATCAGTCATGCGGCGGCTGCTTTGGAAAGGCTTCGCCTCATCATCGATCAGACAGATCGGGCGCACACACACCGCCACCGTTTGGCCCGTTGGATTAGGCGACGCCGTTGTCGGTGTCCGAATGGCGTATTGCCGTTGTCCACATTCCCAAGACTGGCGACGCCCATCCCGCCGGCCCGCAGCACATCCGCACCGGCCCACGCACGGTAAAAACAGGGAACGCCCTCACAGGTGGCTCGAGCATTGGACACGGGCTTTGGCGCTCCAACGTGGCTGCATGCAACATTGGCACCTTCCTGAACCATGACCATATCCGACTCCGAGACACACACGTGGGTGATTCCCCCATCCATTTGTTTCAGGGACCGGCGGTCTGCCCATCTGTGCATGCCCGCGCAGCGTTGCCTGCCTCAGGTGCGGCAGGCCTGTGGTTCGGCGGGCACAACTCTGCCAAGAAAGCTGGGTGGCACTCTCATCAGGCGAATCGACGTGGCGGTGGTGGAGCGTCCCTTTTTCAACATGAAGCGCCTGCTTCGGGCGTCTACTGTCCCCCGGGTCTACATGGCGAGCGTGCGCGAACCTCAGGCATGGTTCTATTCAGCGATGCAACAGTGGTGCCTCGGCCCTGCTGGGCACCGATCCGCCCGCTGCCGGCCAGGGCGCCTACCTTAAGGCGGGGCCCACAGTGACAGTCACACGATTCACATTCGCGGGCTGGAGAGTAGGACAACGGTCTCCGACCTCTTGTGCGCGCGCGCCCGCCGTCGCTGGAGATGTTCTGACAAACGCGCCTACCCCCGTGCGTGCGTTCCTGTAGGCGGGCCTCTTGGTTTGGAGTCAGCGCCAACCTTAGCAACGCTGAGAGGCAGCTCGACTACTTTTCACAGCCCGACCTGCAGTCGGGCTGGCTTGGCGACATCTGGCTGGAGGAGCACTGGCTTGTCTGCGCCACCGAGCTGCATAACCACACGACGGCTGCTCTTGGCGCGCTCCACGGCGACCCGCGGATGATCCCGTCGATGCACATGAACGTGCACCACTCATGGTCGCGCATGAAGCGATTCCGCGCCAGCCTGCCGTGGGAGGCGCTCAATCCAGCCACTTCGTCTCCCTGTAGACCTCTGGGTCAGCCACAGCCTGCCCCTCCCTTTCCCTTCTTGTCAGGCGCTTAGACGCTTCTACGTCCGTGACGAGGCGCTCTATCGCCGCATCGCCGCGGCGGGCTGCCTCGCCCACAGCTCGAGCCCTGCGTTGAGGAGCGCGCTCGATGCAGCGGTGCCCCAAATTGAGTGGATGCGATAGCGATATCAGCGGCGGGGGCTCTTATGTCTCCCGCAAAGATAAACCCATTCGCGAAGGGAACGAGAAAAAGAAAGAAAGAAAATAGACAACCCAAGGCGCAAGGGAAAAGAATTCTTAAGATACAAGCCTCTCTCACAGCACACTGGCACGACAAGGAAAAGAAAGAAAGAAAAAAAGAAAAAAACAAAACAGACAACCCAAACGAGGGATGGGGGAGGAGGACAGGGTCCCCACCTGCACGAGCAGGATTTTGGAAGGACGATCAGGGGGACAGGTAACCCAAGGGAACGAGTGATGACGGTCGTATGAATTCTTCTGCAATCCCGCCGCATTAGGCAGCAGGCCGCGCCCCATGGAGTATTCCTTCGGCTTCGTTGGCGTCGGCACGATGAACGCGGCCATCGTTCGCGGCATCGCCACGCTGCCCGCGCCACCAAAGTCGCTCGTCCTCTCGCCGCGCGGCGCCGCCCGCGCCGCAGAGCTCAGCGCCGAGTTTGGGCCGCTCGTGACGGTGGCCAAGGACAACCAGGCGGTGGTGGACGCGTCCGACGTGGTATTTGTCGGCGTGCTCCCGCGGCTTGGCGAGGAGGTCCTGCGCGCCCTCCGCTTCAGCGAGAGGCACACGGTCGTCTCGCTCCTCTCCACAATGCCGCTAGCCGAGGCGCGGCGACGCGACCGCCGCCTCCTCGCTGTCCCTCGCTCCCTCCCCTGCGCCAGGGAGGCCGAGTCTCCCGCCTCCCGACGCACCATCGCGCGCGCCCGTTCCCCTGTGTCCAGGTGCGGGCATGCTGTGCGCCCGTGCCGCCCGCGTCGGTCGTGCGAGCCATCCCGCTGCCGCCCGTCGCAAAGCAGCGGGGCGCATGCGTCATGACGCCGCGGCACGCGCCGGTGGCGGCGCTGTTCTCCAAGCTCGGCACCGTCGTCGAGGTGGACAGCGAGGAGGAGATGCGAAAGATGATTGGCATCACCTGCCTGATGGGCCAGCTCTACGCGCAGCAGCTCGCCGCACAGAGCTGGCTGCAGGAGCAGGGCGTGGACGCGGGCGCAGCAGCGAGGTGGGTGGGCGCCGTCTACCACACCGTCTCGTACGACTCCGCCACGCCGGGCCCGGACACCTTTGCCTCGCTCGTCGAGGAGCAGACCCCGGGCGGGCTCAACGAGCAGGTGCTCCGCGAGATGAGGGAGGCGGGCGCCAGCCTCGCGCTGCGCGACTCGCTCGACGACGTGCTCGCGCGCATCGAGGGCCGGCCGGCCGCCGCGCGCGAGCGGACGGCCTACTCGTCCTCGCCCGCTGATCCGAGCCCCTAGGCCACGCCGCGCAGGGGCGACTTCACGGCGAGGGTCGGTGACGAGGCTGGGGGCAGCGTGGCGCGGCACCCGTGCTGGCCGACAACGCGAGGTCATAAGGGTGTCCGCTTGTCATCAGGACGGGGCGGCTCGTCGTGGTGTCTGAAGCAACGCCACAACGCCAGACATGGCCGGCGCCGGGTTTCTCGCTATCGGCTGTGCCGCCCACGCCCCATGATACATGCGACGAGGTGTCGGTGATCCTGATCGGTCTTCGGTGTCCGCGGTGTCTCTGGTGTCAAAGTCTCGTGTCTGTGCCGTGTGTCATGTGCGTGCGTGGTGTTGTGGCTGAGCCAACGTAATAATGGCCTACAGAAGAATCTCGTACACACACACGCCACACCGACGCTCGTCTCGTCTCTCGACGCATCCGCTCTCTAAGGAGAGTCAACACTATATCTCGACGCAGAGCGGCCAGAGAGAGGTTAAAAATGGAATGATTGTGTATATTGCGCCCGCACGGAAACGATCACTGTCCGCGTGGAAGGAGCGAGTCAGTGTGTTCGGCGACCGATCGCTGCGCGGCGACTCGCCGCCCCGCGCGCTCTCTCTTCCATTACCTTGACGCATCGAACCCCTCAGCAGACGCTGCACCCCGTGCAACCGCTGGGCATGCTGTCGTACGCGATCCACGTGAGCACCTGAGGAGGGGGCAATGCCGCGGTAGGAGTTGTCGGGCGGCGGCCGTGAGGGACGGCCTTGAGGGAGAGCGGAGCGAACACATGGTCAAAGGCATGGCGCAAAGCCCACGCCGCCGCCTTCTCCTTTCGCTCCCTCGCATGTCCACCGTCCGCCTCCTCCGCCTGCGGCGGGGCGAGACATGAGCTGCCCACACAATGGGTCGAGTTTGAATACTTCGGGGCAGGGGAGCAGGGGAGTCCTCGCGCAGCAGCGACTCGGCGCTTGCCACCGCCTCCTACCAAGTCTCTCGCGACGTGAGAGACGCCCCTCCCCTCCCCTCCCCCTCCCCCTCCCCCCCCCCCTCCCTTCCCCTCCCCTTCCCCTCCCCTCCCCCCTCTCGCCGCGAGACCTGCAGCGAGTCGCGAACCAGCCGCGCGCCTAAAAGGGCGAGGTGAGCAAGCCTCACCACAGAGAGAGGTGCTCGAGAGAGCTGTCAAGAGCACACAGCTCGCTGCGCCGCTCACGCGCAGCTCCTCCCGCGCCGCACGTAAGTAGATGTCGGCGCACCGCCTCGCTTGCCCGCGATTGTACGCCGGCGCGCCGCGAGCGATCGCGTCCCTCAGCCGCTGGGCGGTGCCCTCCAGCATAGAGGGGTCGGCAGAGCCGGGAGGGGGGGAGGCTCGCGGCAGCGCGGAGGAGGGGCGGGCGGACTCGTCGACCGTCGCGAGCCAAAGCCCGCCCGACCCGGCCTCGACGTAGGAGCGGCCCAGCCGCACCAGCGCCTCGCCGCGCCCCCTCACGTCCGCCTACGGCGCCGGAGGAAGCTCGTGCTGTGCACCCCCCCTCCGGAGCCTCCCCACACGGCACCAAGCCGCCTCCCCTCCGGCGCGGAAGCGTGCGCTTTCCAGCACCACCAGCAGCGCCGCCTGCGGCTGGAGCCCGGCCTCGCCCGGCGCGGTCGGCTCGGACTGCGCCCACAGAAACCTGGCGCATGAAAACGGCTGGGGGCGTGGACGCGGCATCGTGCAGCGCATTCAGAGCACCGCGTGAGTGCGACTGCCAGGTCGACTACGGCATCTAGGCGGAAGCCTGCGGTCTCCCTCCCAGGCGCGCCGCGCCAGAAGCCGGTAGCGCGGCTCGAAAAAGTGGAGCGAGACTGTTGCCCCCGGTGCAAAGCCTACTCGAAGGCAGGAGAGGCTGAGAGGGCGGCGGTTGCCCAAGGTCTGGCTCCGAATGTCGCAGCCGTGCCACGTTCGGATCCTCGCATGACAAAGAGTGGATAGGGCCCGCTGTTCGCCGCCGCCATCTTCTCCAGCGTGGCGGTGGTGTGGGCTCGCCGCGCCTCCAGCTCATCCGGAGGTACTGCCTCCTCGATCTTTGCGGCAAGCCCTTGGTCGAGGGCGTGTGTCTTTGGGTCGAAGCTAATTTCCGCGCGGCACTGCGGACAGGCGCCGCCATCGGGCGCGAGCCGCGAGGCCTGGAGTAGGCAGAGGCGGCAGAAGCTGTGGCGGCACTTCAGCGTGAGAGGCTCGAACAGGAAGTCGAGGCAGATGGAGCAGAGGATGTCGGGGTCAAGAGAGGCGGCGCAGCCGGCGCCGTCGTCCGCCTCCTGTCCCGCCTCACTCACGTACAGCTCGTCTGTTGCCTCCTGGGTGGATGACGTGACTGAGGCAGCCTCGGTCGTCGAGGTTGTTGCCTCCTGGATGGATGGATAGCTCTCACCGCGCCTGAAGTTGATGTCCTCCACCGGTTGGGCCGCGGACCGTAACGAAGTAGCACTCCTCATGTTGCAGACCTTCATCGGAACCTTCGTAGAAAAGAGAAAAAAACTCGCGCAGGACGCACGCCGTCCTCCCACACAGGGATGTTAGGAGATAGCGTGGTAATTTTAATCTACTCAGAGCGGTGGTTGAGGCCAATTTCGCGGAAGTCGACGGAAGACCTTTCGAGAAACGAGCTCGGTACCCTCGGTTCGGGCTGAAATTGACAAACAACCAAATCTCTGAAATGAAATTGCCATTGCAGGCATGCCCACAGGGTCGGGCGTCACGGTGCTCGTGGCAAGCCGATCTCCGTCACTCTTGTGACTTGTGGGCTTGGTGGTGTTGCCTCCGGTGCTACTGCTGGCTAGGGTGCCAATGGCGCGACGGGAGGCGGCCATTGTGGCGCCACTACACAGCTGAGCCCTGGCTGTCAGGCTGTCAGGTGCTGTCAGGTGATCTGTCGGGCTGTCGGGCACTGTCAGGCACTGTCAGGTGCCTCTGTCAGACCAGCTGTCAGGTGCTGTCAGTGCTGTCAGGTGCTGTCGGGTGCGTGTCTGACAGGCGAGGTGATCTGTAGCTGTCGGGTGCTGTCGGAGCTGTCGGGTGTTGCTGTCAGACGCTGTCGGAGCTGTCAGAGCTGTCAGGCTGCTGCTGCTGTTAGACGTTGGGCTGTTGCTGTCAGGTGCTGTCAGGTGGTGCGCTGTCGGGGTGCTGTCAGGCTCTGACACACATCAGCCACACTTATGACACTATCAAGAGGGCGCTGACTATCAAGGGGGTGCTGACGCCGATGACGCCGGCGGCTACGCAGCTACCCCCCCTCCTACACGGCGTGATCACGCCGGCGGCGGCGGCCGCCTGGGGAGCGCAGATGGCGGCGCAGAGGCACAGGCGGCGGCGGCGGCACAGACGGCGGCGGCCACCCCCACCCAGACGCCGTAGGCATATGACTGTAGGGCCCCAGAAGGCTAGCTGGTAGCTTCATTTGTAGTAGCACAGCCGCCGGTGCTGGAGAGGGGTCCGCAGAGGTGGGGCGGGAGGGTTGAAAGAGAGACCCATGACCATCCCATGACTACATGGACCACACTCACATGTCATGTCTTTGCATGTAATTTTGTTATACCCTCATGGGGCATAAGAAAGAGGCTCTACGGGGTCTGTGTACGGTCTGTGCTGCTGTCAGGCCACTGTGTGCTGTCGGGCTGTCAGGCAGCTGTCAGGCTGTCACGTTAGGGCCTGACAGCGACGGGTCACCTCGCCTGTCAGGCTCTGCTGTCAGGCTGTCAGATACGTGCTGTCAGACTGTCAGAGAAAGTGCTGTCAGCGCTGTCAGGCTGTCGGGCACTGTCAGGCGCTGTCCGGGCGGGTTTGCTGTCAGTCTGTCAGACCCGCCAGGGCTCAGCTACACAGCAACGAAGAACGATGTGGGGGTGCGCGCTGTCCGCTGTGCCTCGCCCTCGGGTTCGTGCGTCGCCCATCTGTCCCGGAGATCCCTGCTATATTTCTTTGCGGTTTACACCCATACCTCCCGTGCGCGATCTGTTTTCTTTCTTTCGACAGAGGTGGATGGACGGGCGAGTGGCAGAGCGTGAGGCTGCAACAAAGCTACCGTCGGCGAGTCCGATGGAGGTTCAACACCCTCGTCCCGACGCCGCCTGCTGGTGCTGCTCCGCAAAGTGCAGCACCGTGGGCAGGAAGGTCTTGCGAGAGACGGCGTTGCGCAGCGGCGAGACGCGCAGCCCGGAGGCGGCGTCGGCGTCCTCAAACCCGATGCCAAACCCGTCGGTCCCTGCGGACAGGCGGCGCCACGGGGCTGCGGGTCGTGCGGCGTGCCGCGGCGCAGGGGCAGCGGCGGCGCAGGGGCAGCGGCCCGGGCGGCGCTGGCTGTGCCCGCGTGTAAAGAGCAAGGTGAGGCGGAGCAGCTCTCTCGCTCCAAGCGGCCTCTCTCCGCGCATCTCTCTGCCCACCGAGCTGCTGCTTGACAAAGAGGGGCTGCGAGGCGAGCGAGGGGGGGAGGCCCTCCGGCGCCGCCTCGAGGGCTGACGCGAGCGCCGCCGCCGCGCCTCTCCCCCCTGGGGTGAGGGGCACCACACTGACCCCCTTGAGGCCCGACCCGCCCGCGGCGCGGTCCTCGGCGGAGAGAGCGAACAGCACGTCGACACCGCTCCGCCCGCCTGCAGTCGTGCCGCGGGACGTGTCGTGGACGCGTCCGGAGAAGGGTGCGGCGCCACCACAGGGGAGGTACCACAGGGGAGGGGCAGTCGCGAAGGAATCATTCGCGAGGGGAGCAGATGCGAGGTAGCGGAGGAAGCAGTGGAAGGGAGGCGGCGATGGCGGGGAGAGGCGGCGGAGAAGGGGAGAGAGGCGGCAGGGAGGAGAGGCGGTGGAGGAGAGAAGCGCGCCAAATGCCGCCATCGCCGCGGAGAGCGCACCGCCTCCGCCCGCCCTCGCAATCAGCTCGCGCAGGGGCACAAAGACGGCGCAGACACCAACCTCCAGCTCGCCCGCGCGCGCCTGGGGAGAGGCCGGCACGCTTCGGAGAGTGCTGTGTAGCTTCGGAGAGTGCTGTGTAGCTTCGGAGAGGCTGCAGCGAGGTGCTCTCGGACGCCCATCGTCGACCCTGCCCCGACCCTGCCCCTTCCCTGCCCCACGCCCGGCCGCGCCTGCTTGTAGCCGAGCCGGAGCAGTCCTCTCGGGTCCTCTCGGGTCCTCTCGGGTCCTCTCGGGTCCTCTCGGGTCCTCTCGGGTCCTCTCGGGTCGGGTCCTCTCGGGTCCTCTCGGGTCCTCTCGGCGCCTGCTTGTAGTCGAGCCGGAGCAGGTCGTGCACGTCGAGCGAGGAGACGTCGTACCGCGCGTCGAGCAGCCTCGCCGCCAGCTCGCCGAACGTGGCCGCGCCGCCCACCGCCGCAGCAGCCGGAAGCGCCGCACCGCGCAAGTCCGCTGCCGCCGCCTCGACCTCCGCTCTCCCCACGCCCGCCTCTCCCGCACCCACCTCTCCCGCACCCGCCTCTCCCGCCTCGCCGCCGCCGCCGACATCAGCCGCCGACAGCAGCGCCATCAGCCGCCGCACCGCCGCCACGTCGCGCCCGACGAACTTTTGCTGCGCCGCGTCGAAGCCGCGCGTGTCGGCCGCGATAGCGCCGAGCAGCAGCACGCAGAGGAGGTGCGGCGGGTCGGGCGGGAGCAGCTCAGAGACGAGGGAGCAGGCGGAGCCTACGGCAGGCAAGGCTGCGCCTCACGCCACTCGCGTCCCTCGCGCCAGGCCTCGGTCCTGCCGGGGGGCGAGGCGGATGCGCCGGCAGAGGTGTCGATCAGCCGCGCGCCTCCGGACGAGGAGAGGTGCGCGCGCTCGTCGCTGTGGTGGTCGATCACCTCGACGACGACATCGCCGAGCGAGGCGGCAAAGTGCTCCGCCAGCCGGTTGTGGTCGGTCAGCGCCACCGAGAGTGCGCCCGCGCCGCGCCACGCCTCTGCCGGCGCCGCCGCCTCGTCGGGAAAGTAGAGGAGGCTCTCCACGGCGCCCTCGGAGTCAAAGTCAAAGCCGCAGTGGCGGAAGAGGAGGCACGCGTCCTGCCGCAGCCGAAAATCGGGCCGCGGGAAGGGCACGAGCGGCACGTGCTGCCGTGAGGCCGGTTCGGCGCCCTGCACCTGCCGGCAGTAGGCTGCACAGACGGCAGACACGATGGTGTCGAGGTCACCCGCGACGTTGCCCACCCAGACTGTGGCGGAGGCGGTGGCGCCGGCCGACGGACCGGCGAGGAAGGCCGCGCGCGACTGCGCGACGAAGGCTTGCGGAGAGAGGGGAGGCCTCATCCTCGACGCCTGGACCGACTTGGCCATGGTTTTTTTTTCACGGAAGATCGTCCCTTCTCCGACCGTACACTAAATGCCGGCATGTCATCGACAGCTGGATCAGCGCCACCGCCGCCGCCGTCGGTAGCAGACACGCGCGGAGCGCGCCGCTGCAGAACACGCGCGGAGCGCGCCGCTGCACAGGGTGGAGAGTTCTCCGGCGCGGAATCTTCGACTTCGAGAGAGAGAGATTTTTAGCAATACCAAACAACTCTAACACTCACACGTCATTTGGGGCCTGGAGCCCTGTTCACGCGCGCGCGAGACGTGCAGACAGGGTTGCCAGGTGAGAGCGAATGGCGCGGTTCACGCCTCGCACAACAGAGAGAGAATTCTTAAAGATACAAGCCTCAGAGAGAGAAATGCGCTCTGCATGGTGGGACATAAAAGAAAGCGAGTACTTGGGCGAGTAGGCCGTGCGGTCGACGCTGCCGCGCGCGACTTTGCGCGCGAGGCGGCGCAGCTTGAGAACTGCTTGAGAACGGCGGTGGGCGAGAAGCCGCCGCCGAACGTCTCGTGGAGCAGCAGGTTGAAGTTGTTGCGCTTGACAAAAGATCGCGTCGTGGTAGAAACCGCGATGCGCCTTGACGTAGCCGTGGCCGTTCTTGTGGTCGAAGGGTTGGCCGGGCTGCCCGCGCGCCTTGCAGCCCATGTTTAGGCGGCGGGCCTTCTCTTCGGTGTTGCCGAAGGCGTAGGAGTTGTTTTGTCGACTTCGTATTCCGCTCCGATCAATTCGTGTTCTCTCTCTCTCTACTGACTACTCTCTTAGTTTTTACCCATCTCACAGTAGCGGTGTCCGTATTTTTATTTTTGTTTATTTATTTATTTATGACTACTCTCCGCTCTCTCACTCTCTCAGCTCGTCCGTGCGGTGTCTCATCCGTCTGACATCTTCTCTCAATTCATCACGAGAATAAAATCAAAAAATCTCTGTTCCTGTGACAGAGACACAGAGTACGAAAAACGTAGTGGCTCGGCGCGAGGGGTGGCACTGAGGGGAGCGGCTCGCCCGTGCTTAGCACTCCTGCGCCTCACGACATGTGCAATGTGGGGGACGAGGGGGGGCGGGGGGACAGACCGGGGCATGCGTTCTCGGGCGACCCGAGGGGCCTTCTCTGCGCACTGCGGTGCGCGCGCGCGACGCAGGGTCCGCGCGGGTGGCTAGGTCGTAAGGGGCGGGGGGAGACCCCCTATGGGCTCACCGCTCCAGGGAAAAAGGCTCCGTAAAACACCTTGAAAAAGGACCGGAGGATCCTCCGCTCCATCCCCCTTTTTCTGTGGGTAGGAAGTACCCCTCTCTTGGCGAAATCTCTTCTGGACGGCAACTGTACTTTACGTACTCTCTCGATCGACGACTAAATCTCTCTCTTCACAAAAAATCTCTCTCTGAGAGCTCACACAAAATTCACAGTGGGAGGAAGGCAAGCGGCGAGTCGCGATCCCAGTGGTCGTTGTGACGGGCCACCCTGATGCGTGCCGGATGGAGTCCGGCCGCGGGTGACTAGGGAAGTTGCTCAGGATGTGTGCCAGCCACGTTGGCTGAGTGTCTTGTCTGGGTGGTTCTGTGTGTCGCTCCTGTGTGACCGTCACCGCCCGTCCTGCGAGCTGCGTCCACCCATAATACCGCGTTGGTGTCCCAGTCGTTGGTCGGACTGTGTTTCGCCTTCCCATCAATCCACCTCGCTGGCCTCTCCGCAAGGCCCCCCGACCGCGTCGAACTCATCGGCGCGGGCTCTCTTGGCTACGGCGTACGGGACCGGCCCCAGCTTCGGCTGAGGGCTAACAAGCTGCCGAGCCCAAATCACTGTGTCAGTCGTGATTTCTTGTTGGTCTTCAAAAATCTCTCTCTCAATCCAGAGAGGCACGGGTGCCAATCTGGGGTCTTTCGACCGAGTCTATCTCAAACCTGGCCGCCCCACGTTAGTTGTTATACCCCACGCCAGGCTCCCGTGTGTGCGTTCGAGCGTGCGTGCGTGCGCAGAGCTACATAGCGCCGCTCAGCACAGCGGCCGCCGGGCCGCCCGGGGCGCGCTAACTGCGGCCCTTTTGCGCCTCATGTCAATAGAGACAATACGTTTTACACGCGCGACGGCGCGGCGCGCCTGCAAAAGGGCCCACCCCATGCCTAACCCTAAGCCCCCTGCGACCCCCACGGCGGCAACCCCTCCTCCTGTCCTCCTTCTCCTTCCAACCGTCTTCCGCGGTCGCCGCCAGCGCACAGTTCATGTGTCACATGCGCCGGCGCGTCGTCATCCCGGGTTGGGGTACACCTTTGCCGAGGCGCGGCTGCTCGCCGCCGATGGCCGCACCGCGGAGCCAGCGGCGGCGTGGTGGCCCAGCGGTCCCCCGGCGGCGCTCCCCCTCACGCCGCTGGCCGCCGACGCCCGCGCCACCGCCGCCGAGTTGCGCGTTCCTCCCTTCACCGGTGGCTCGGGCGCGCTGGCGGCGGCCTTGCAGGCCATCCACACCAAGCCGGCGGTGCACAGCAAGGCCACAACTCCGGCGCATCCGATGAGTGCGATCGTCAGGATGCTCAGGGAGCAAGAGGCTGTGAACCAAGGCTCGGGGCAGAGCCCACCGCCGCCGCGGCACAGGTGGATTATGTCCTCTTGGTTAAAGCTGCCACCGGACCCAACCTCCACGCCATCGATGAGGACGGAGTAGTAGCCTCCCGCCTCCAAGCCGTCGCCGTAGCTGTCGTAGATGGTGAAGGTGCAGGCGTCCTGGTCAATGCACTCCTCCCAGGAATACCTGGTGTTTTGGAGGCTGAACGGGCCTTTTTGGACGACGACTTCGTCGCCGTCCGTAGTGCTCCTGGTGACGGTGTACCGCGTCTCCGTCGGCCATTGGTCGGTCTTCACGATGGCCGTGAACATCTTGCACGGCATCGCGGGTGGGGCGGGGGGCGGGCGGGGCGACGGCGGTGGGTGAGGAGGCCCCCCTATCAGCTCCAGCACGGCGGCCCAATAGTTGACGATGCCATGGCCGTACTCGTCGTCGAGGCCCGGGCTGCCCACGTCTGTGGCGCCCGCCTCGAGCGCCGCTCGGATGTCGGTATTGGTACTGGCGGGGTACCTGTGACGTGAGTGGCGCGGGAGGTGGTGCCTGGGCGGCGACCGGCTCCCAACCGTGGGCGTGGATTGAGCACACTTGTTCCAGAGCACCATGGCGACGCCCGAGACGTGGGGCGTAGCCATGGAGGTCCCCTGAATCGCATTGTAGCCATCGGCGCCTAGTCGCCAATCACCGCGGTGTGGGCGGGCGGAGAGAACGGCGGCGGCTCGGTCCCGCGCGGGGCGCCATAAGTGGACTCGATGTTGACGCCCGGCGCAGCAATGTCGACTTGGTCATTGTACTGCGAGAAGTAGGCTCGCGTGTCGCTGCTGTCGGTGGCACCGACGCTCATGACCGCAGAGTACGACGCTGGGTACGAGTAGCCGGTGGTACCGTCATTGCCGGCGGCGGCAATGAAGAGGATGCCGTCGTCGTCGAAATACCTCTGGTACGCTTGCTGCTCGGACATCATGGTGTAGGAGCCGCCGAGGGACACTGCGAGGGGCGCATCGACGGGAGCGCAAAGTCAAGGGGGGGAGGTCTGAAGACCCGCATCCAACTCCGGCCGGTGCGGATCTACTCTCTCACTCGATACGATCTTGGCTCCGCTGTCAACACAGTGCTGCACCGCGGCGAGGATGGTGGAGGAGTAGGCCCAGTTGCACGAATTTTCGTCGGAAGTGAGGTCCGAGGCGCCAAAGACCTTGACAATCTCCAGGTCAGGCGCGCCCGGGTAGACGCCCACCACTCCCTCGCCGTTGCCACCGATCGCAGCGATCGTGCCAGCGACATGCGTGCCGTGGGCGCAGATGTCGGCACCAAAGTAGAATCTCCCGGCTGGGTTGGCTTGCGAGGGGTCCGCCGCGGTGGCGTCGGGGAGGTCGGGGTGAGTTATCGCGTAGCCCGAGTCGATGATACACACCGGGTGCGTCACCTCTGAGGGGAAGTAGGAGGCGTCCGGCACACCCTGGCCCTCGCCCTGGCCCTCGTACACCTTGCGGATGCCCCACGGCGTTGACTCGGCCAGCTGGCGGCGGCCCGCGTCCGGACTGGGATCTGCGGGGATGGAGTAGCGCGGCAGGTCCACCTCGACGGTTCTCGCCCACGAAGAGCGTCCCGCCGTGTACCGGTAGGCTGCCGCCGTGCTGCTGTCCGGAAACTCGACGACCTCGATCGTGGTGGAACCGCTTGTAAATCGCATGTCGACTCTTCCGCCCGCAATCACTGCCGACTGCTCCGCCTGCGCCGAGGCGGGCCCGCTGGCGTCCGTCGTCACGATCAGCCGATTCGGATTGGGCTGCGGACCTGCCGGCTGCTTCCCAACTCCCCTCAGAGTCTCTGCCGTGACGGAGCTCAAGACTCCGGCAGCCTCTTCCGGCTGGAGCGAGTGGTGCAAGAGGACTGCTCCCGCCGCGAGAAGGAGGAAGAGGGGGGCGAGGGCGTATCGGAGAGGCGAGCGCGGGGGCTGATCGGGCGCAGTTTGCATGCCGCGGACTCCACGGCGAGCTGATCGGATCGGCCGCCCGGGTGGGGTCACCCTATCGTCGGCAAAATTGGCCGGCGGTTCTGTGACAGGATGACGCACAAAAAGGCACCGTTAAGGCCAATGCGCGCAGCGCGCGCGCGTGGGGCTGAGCCGCTGCACTCAATGGGTTTTGCGAATACTCACACCGCATTGTGTGCAACCAACGCCACCGGACGTGTGTGTGTGTGTGTGTGTGTGTGTGTGTGTGTGTGTGTGTGTGTGTGTGTGTGTGTGTGTGTGTGTGTGTGTGTGTGTGTGTGTGTGTGTGTGTGTGTGTGTGTGTGTGTGTGTGTGATTCTTTCTTGCTTGAGATTCTTCTCTTGTGTGTGTGTGTGTGTGTTGTGGGGGGGGGGCGGGCTCGTGGTTGCCCAATTTTGGTTGGACTCCACTTGGTTGGGCCCTCGGGCGGCCTTCTCTCGAGGTCTCGAGATACACAAAGCGGCCAGGGCTCGTGGCGTGCAGCACCGTTCGTTGGGATCCGCGACGCGGGTGAACAAAAGTACTTGATTTTTTTAGCTCGTCTACGCGACTTTTTTTGGACAGCGGCCCGAGTTCGTCGGCGTGAAATACACACCGGACAGATGGACTTGGTGACAGACGACGCTTTCGCCGCAGCGATTGGCTTGGCCGCAGTCTCCTGCCTCGCGATTTCCTGTGCGATGCTCTGCTCGCGGTTTGGCGGTGATTGCCCAAACCTATGCGGTCGACGCGTGAGCGGCCGGCGGAGGCACTCTCCGCGAAAGCCACGGCGCGGCCATCGCGCCAACGCGTCAGCGACACGCAGCGCTTTCGAAGCGACGCCGCTCCTAGTCACAGAGGCACAGGCCGAGGAGGCGGCGGGCGGCAGCCCGGGCCAGCACGAGAGACGCTACGGCGACGACGGGCGGGCCCGAGACAACGAGCAGGGCTCAGCGGGTGAGGTCGACGGCACGCACAGCTGCGAGGCGGCCCTCGGAGGTAGGGCACCCGCGCCGCCGCGCATGAAGCTGTGGGGTTTCGGGGACGAGACGTCGAGGCTGTGGGAGCCCGAGCAGCTCGAGCAGGGGCGGTGGGGGAGCGTCAAGGTGCTGCCCGCTGTGGCTCCCACGCCGTCCGCGGTGCTGAGCGGCCTGGTACGGACACCGAGTGGCACCTGTATAACGCAGCTGAGCATCACGGAAGGGAGCGTGGACAGGTCCGGCCGAGATACGACCTACCTCTCAGTAGCGCTGTGACGAGTCGTGCGCCGGAGCGGAGACCCACACTCCACACTGCACACACTTTGTATATGGCATGGGGCATTCAAATTAATCCGATATCACATTAGTCATCAATTCGGCCCCAGCGGCCGCCAGCCACTCCCCACGGGCAAGGCTCGGCGCGCGCCTGCCCCAAGCTCCTCCTTCGAAGGCACGTAATGTAGTATGAGACGAGGTGTATGTATTTTGTGAGAAATGTTAAAAAATCATACGGGCGGCCAAGTCTGACATTACATACCAAGTGGCACCAGGTTTGATACATACCAAGTGGCACCAGGTTTCATCACCGAAAGGGGAGCGCGCGTGATGAAAGAGCACACCACAGCAGAGACCCAGAGTGGAGGCCGCGCGGAGTGCTCTCACCCGCGACACTATACAAGGGGCCTACGCTGAACAGGTTGGTTGCCAGCAGCGGAGCTGCCGCGACGTGCTCATCGGCGGTTGCAGGAAGAAGCCGAGGCCGGCGGCGTCGGGCCGCTGCCTCGCCTGGTCGAGTGTGCCCGACAGGGAGAGAGCCAGCCAGGTCAGCGTCCAGCTGCTCAGGCAGATGGCGGCGACGAGGGCGAGGAGGCCAAAGAATCGGAGCAGGGTGTGCTGCCCGTCGAGTGACACGTCCTCGTAGTTGAGGAACGACCGCCACGCGTAGTCCCACCACCCCATCCTCTCGCCGTCCCACGGCCAGAGCGCCGCGACGGCGCACGCCAGCAGCACCACCGACCCGACGGCGATCAGGAGCCAGCGGGCGCCGGCGCGCGTGAGCTTGACGCGCGCCTCGGCAAACTCCGCGTTCGAGAAGTCCGTGTGGCAGACCGTGCACTGCAGCGGGTTCGGCTTGCCCGCCTCCTCGGCCATCTCGATCATCCTGCGCTGGCACGAGAGGTGCATCGCCGTGTGCTTGCAGGCGCACACGCCGCGCACGAGCTCGTGCTCGCCGCGGCACGAATCGTAGCACAGGTAGCACTCGTTCGTCGTTGTCGTCACTCTCTCCAGCGCAGGCTCTGAGCCGCCACTCTTGAGGCCACCGCCGTTGACGGCCTGCACCGAGATGCCGTCGGCGCCACGGCTCTCAATGTCCGTCGTGGCTCTCGCCGTGGCGCGAGACACCGCAGACCGGACGCTAGCGGCGGCGACGACGGAGATGCGCGTCGCGCCGGTGCGAACGAGCAAGCAAGTCGCGTTTGCGCCGGCGGCCACAAGGATGGCGAGGGCCATAGCCGCGATGACGAGGTGGAAGGTGAGGACCGCGGAGGCGAGGACATGCAGCGCAGCGAGGAGGGCGGCCTTCGTGCCCAGGTGGGGCGACTCATTAGGCGACACGTAGCAACGCGAGTTCAAACACCACCTTGGTGGCGCAGCCGGTGGAAGAAGGGACGGCAGGGGAGCGAGCGGCGGCACTGGAGGCGGCAGCGGAGCGAGAGGCGGCAATGGAGGCGGCGCGGGTGGCATCGGCACCGCTGGGGTGGGGGGTGAAGTCAGCAGGGCGAGGAGCAGGACATGCATTGGCGGCCAGCGCAAGGAATGTCGCGCCCTCCTCCTATATGTCACGGCGAAAAGAATTTTCGAACACGCACAGCCGTACACGAAAAGCGGCAAGAATTTTACAACAAAACTCCCTCGCTCGCACGACACTGGGCACGGGACTGGCGCGCACTGGCACTAACATGCAACACAGGTGTTCAGCTTCAGGATACACCTTTTGCTTTTCCGGCGCGCGGTCGCTGAGACGTCACGGAAAGTCGCGCATCATTCATGCTCTCTGACGTCTGAGGACTGAGCGCGCAGCGTCTTGACTCTTCTTTATTTCATCAGAGAGAGAACACTACAACAGGGGGGGGCGCGTGAGCCCCCACTCCCGCAGAGCCTTCATCGGACGGGCAGCGTTTTTGAATGCACACGGGGACCGGACACGGGACACCCGCCTCAGCTCTGGAGGCTGTCTCCGCCGCCCCCCTCCTCGTGCACGCCGGGCCATGCGGAGAGCGACTTCTTGAACTGCTGCACCGCCTCGATCGTGTCGAGGCACACGACACCGTCGGGCGGCGGCGGCAGCTCGAGATGCGGCGCGAAGACCTGGAAGGACGCCTTGCGCCGCACGCCTATGGGGCGTGCCGTGGACGCCTCTCCTCACACACCTCTTCACAGGCTCGGAAGGGTGCCTGCTGCTGCGCGCCCGAAGCGCGCGACAAAGTCGCGTCCCAGAAGGCGGCCAACTGCGGCTGCGTCAGCGCGCGCACCGCCTCGGCGTCGCGCTCGTTGCGGTCAAAATCGTACTGCTGCAGCGGCGTCATCTCGTGCCTATGGCGGCGTGGGCCGGACGTGAGGTCGCTCCCGGCCGCGCTGCCGCGCTGCTGCAGCGTCGTCTCGCGCCAGTAGCGGGCCGTCTCCTGCCGCAGCTTCTTGTCCACCTCGAGCTTCCTCTCCACCAGCGCCTGGCGGTAGTCTGCAAAGTCGACCTCGGAGAGGTCGCGCAGCAGCGCGGGCACCTGATCACTCACTCATGAGCCACTCAAGGCGCCGTCTTTGGAGAAGTGGCGCAGCAGCGCGGGCGCCGTCTCGAGGAAAGCCTATGAACACCAAACCACCAGCTGCTCAATAGGAGTACCCATGCAGCGGGGCGGGCGCCGACTCGAGGAAGGGCCTCGATCCGCTCGTCGAGGGTGGTTGGCGAGGCGACCGCGGACTGGATGATGAAGCGGAGGCCGACCTATGCTTTCACGACTGTGAGTATGACTGGTGCGCGACCGCGGGGCGGGTGGAGCGGAGGCCGACCGTGTTGTAGGTGAAGCGAGAGGTGCACCACACGATGTAGCCGAGCTGCTCGACCTACTCACAGCTCTCTTCGTCTGTACCCGCAGCCATGCGCTTTTCCACGCGACGCAGCCAAGCCGCTCGACCGTGCGCAGCTGCTGCTCGGCGCACTTGTGCAGCACCTGCAGGATGGCTCTCGGGCGATCTCGGGCGATCTCGGGCGATCTCGGGCGATCTCGGGCGATCATCCTGGGCGATCCCGGGCGAATCTCGGGTCATCTCGCCTGCTCGAGCATCTCGACGAGCATCGTGCGGGGCCGCTCGTCGACCCCGGCCTGCAGGAAGACCTCAATCGCCGAGTTGGTCTCGTCGGCGTTGGCGAGCAGCCGCTGGTCCTCGGGCAGCGTGGAGGGGTGCTGCCGCACCCACACCTCGCTGTCCGCGGGCAGCACGAGCGCGCGGTACATCGACTCGCACTCGCGCCTCTCGTCGCAGCTCAGCGGCTTGGAGCCGATGGCGGCCCGGGCGGCGGCGACCATCTCGCCGGCCTGCGGCGTGTCGTGGACGTGTCATGGGCCGTGCCGTGGACGTGTCGGGCGGCGGGGACGCGTCTCTGTCGCCTGCTCGGCCGAGGCGTTGCCGTGGCAGAGGGCGAGCATGCGCGACGAGGCGAGCAGCTCTCCCGTCACGAAGGCTCGGTACTCGTCCAGGTCGAGCGAGCCGCTCTCCACCACCTCGCGGTAGTAGTCGAGGATGTGGTGGCGCCGCACCTCGAGCAGGACCTAGTTAGCACCACCCCTCGCCCGTCAGTCCGTCGTCGACATTCGGCGACACCCGCGCGAGCGGGACCGAGGCGAGGTAGACGGCGTGCTGGTACGGCGCCTGCAACAAAAGAAACACAGCTCGGCCTTCACGTCTCCGTTCTCCCGCAAGCGAGGTAGAGAGCGTGCTGGCGCGGCGCCTCCTTGAAGAAGTTCGCGTAGCCGCGCCGCACGTTGTCGCGCTGTATGGCGAACCGCTCCGCGGCCAGGTCGGGCGCCTGAGAGAGGAAAGCGCGTGCGTCCAAAGAAGAAGGGCAAAGGCGCTCCCGCGGCCGAGCGAGTTTCCGCGAGCTTGGAGACGACTCGCTGCAGCAGCGCGGGCAGCTTGTGCGAGTACCCGCCTAAGCAATGATGAACTAATGCTCATTCGTCATTCATTAAGCGCGGGCAGCTTGTGCGAGAATCCGCCGAAGAGGATCGTGAGGCCGCCGTTGCTCGACTGGACCCGGTAGTGCAGCCCGGCCACCTATTGTTGGATTGTCGCTGTCGTTGTGGTTGTAAATGTAAATGTGAATGTAAATGTAAATGTGAATGCAAATGTTGTTGTTGTTGTTGTGACTCTTTTCTCATCATCACCTCGGCGTGGTAGGAGAACTCGGTCAGCTCGTCCGACAACTGCCGCGTGAAGAGCGACGTCATCACCACCTGGAGGAGGGCGCCGCAACAACCAGAAGAGTGACAGCGAGAAGGGCCGTGGCAGTGAGCGACGTCTCCTCCCCACCTTGAGCGGCGTCGCGTACGCCTGCGAGAGCTGCAGCGCCATCCACATGTTCGTCTTTGGGCGGCGGAACGTGGCGTCCGTCTTGTGCCACAGCTCAACGCCAGCCTAATCTCGGACAATCTCGCCTCAGCCTCGCCTCAGCCTCGTGCCACCGCTCGCGACGCGCACCTCATCCAGCAGCCGCGTCGGCAGCCGGGGCAGCGCCTCCGCCCCGCCCGGCGCGCTGTCACACACCAGCCTGCGGAGAGCGGAAATGCTACCTCCCGAGAGAGAGCGTCGAGGCGCGCTGGGCCGCAAGCGGGCCCAAGGCCAGTCGGGATGGACGAAAATTCGGGTGTATCTCGGTTTTATCTCGGCTATGGCCTCGCTATACCTCGGCTATGTCTCGGCTATGTCGCGCCCAAAGTCGGTCGGTATGAACGGATTTGGGTCCGGCAGCCGCAGCATCCCCCCCTCGGCGCTCGCCGCCGCCCAGCGCTCGAGAGTCTCGTCCGAGATGTGCGCGGTGCCTACACAAAAGAAGGACAGAGACGCGTGCGGCAAAGGGAGACCAGCAAGCGCGGTCCAACCGAGGCGTGCGCGGCGCCGAAGGGTGTGTTGTACCACGGCTCGCGGTACGGCGCCGCCGCCGCCACGCAGCGGGAGGAGTGGAGGGTGATGACGCGCGCTGGCGTGAGCAGGGCGAGCATCGCCTCGATGGCGGCCGGGTCGAACTCCTACAAGCGGGTGCGGAGAGCGCGTCGGGTAGGGGTGCGTCCGAGACGAGTCGAGAAGGGACGGCTGATTCAGTGCTGAGAGTCTTGCTCCTGGGGCCTGGTACCTGGTGCAGGTACGGCGCCGAGAGCACGTCCGCGGGCGGGTGGTGCTCGAGCGAGGTTGCGAGCGAGTTTGCGGCGTCCATCGGCTCGTCCTGCTCCTTGTACCGGAACCCCATCTCGGCGAGCGAGGAGCACTCCTCAAACACCCACCGCGCCTACCGGTCGATGCGCAACTCATCAGCGGTCGCGTCCAAGTAGCAACACTCGTCGACGGCCCAGCGAGCCGGCGGCAGGGCGCGGAGCATGTTGACGGCGGCGAAGAGCTCGAGCAGAATCTCGTCCACCTTGCCGTCCCCCTCCTCCGACAGGGCCATCTGCACCTCGAACATCGCAAAGTCGGAGGCGGAGACGGACTCGCCGGCGCAGAGCGAGTCGACCCAGCCGCGCCCCTTGAGGAGCGAGAGGAGCGACCTATTCACAGCTAGGGGTGTGAAGCTTGGGGTGTGAAGCTAGCCCCTTGAGGAGCGAGAGGAGCGACCTATTCACAGCTAGGGGTGTGAAGCTTGGGGTGTGAAGCTAGCCCCTTGAGGAGCGAGAGGAGCGACCTATTCACAGCTAGGGGTGTGAAGCTTGGGGTGTGAAGCTAGCCCCTTGAGGAGCGAGAGGAGCGACCTATTCACAGCTAGGGGTGTGAAGCTTGGGGTGTGAAGCTAGCCCCTTGAGGAGCGAGAGGAGCGACCTATTCACAGCTAGGGGTGTGAAGCTTGGGGTGTGAAGCTAGCCCCTTGAGGAGCGAGGGGAGCGACCCCTCGCTCTCGTGCCCGAGGAGGTGCGAGATGTACCTATTCACAGCTGGAGGTGTGAAGAGACGCTGTTCACAGCCTCGCTCTCGTGCCCGAGGAGGTGCGAGATGTACCGGTGCGGCTTGGAGCGCCACAGCTGCCGGATCGGAGGCATCGGCCACAGGACCGTCAGCAGGCGCAGCTGCCGGACAGGAACGTTGACGAGCGCGCGCCGCATGGTCGAGGCATATGGCTCGCCTGACGCGAGGTGGGGGGGCAGACCTCGCGACAGCAGCAACAGGCCTCGCCGCGTGGGAGGCGGTCAGCGCTCGCCCGGCCAGGCGGGCGGCGGGCGGTTGATGTTTGGGATGGGGTAGAAGAGCGGCAGCACGAGCTGCTCGAGCTCGGCGAGAGACTGCTTGCCGACCACGCAGAGCCGCATCGCGTTGGCCGAGTAGTGCCGCTGGTGGAAGGCGAAGAGCGCGTCGCGGATGGCCAGCGGCGGCCTGCAGCGGGGGAGTCATGCTCAAATGAGGCTGTGAATAGCGTCTCTTCACACCTCTAGCTGTGAAGCTGCAGCGGGGGAGTCATGCTCAAATGAGGCTGTGAATAGCGTCTCTTCACACCTCTAGCTGTGAAGCTGCAGCGGGGGAGTCATGCCTCAAGGAAAGGCGGCGTACTGCGGTGGGGCTCTTGTCATCAGGACCATCACTCCATCGCTGCCACTGCTACTCGGGTGGCCTGCAGCTCGCCACGAGCCGCGCGCGCACCGCGCCGCCGCCGGCAGCAGAGGAGCCGCCGGGAGCTGGCCGCAGGTCGAGCGTCACTGGACGCGCGGCGAGGTCACGCAGCGTCTCCATGTTGCCTGCGTCTCCATCCGAGCAACGGTGACGAGCATGGGGTGATGAGTGGAGAGTCACATCGGTGTCGCCTGTCCCGAACTTGTGCTGCGGGTGCTCCGGGCTCGCAGCCTAGACACGGAGGAGGCGCCCCCGTCCGAGGAGAGGGAGGCTGTGAAGCGCTGCGTAGTGCGGCGGGCTGCGGCGCTGCCCAGCGAGTGAGCTGCGCGAGCCGCCAGGTGTCTGACTGGAGGTTCTTCGCCTGTTGATCGAGGACTCGTCTTCAGACACCCCGACATTGGCTGACAGGTGTCGGCCGGGAGGCTGTCCGCCTAGGAGAGAGAGGGGAGGCCCCTTCAGGAGAAGGAGGCGAGGAGGAGCCGGCGGAGCAGACTCCGTCTTTGCATTCTCCGACTCGATCGCCTTGAGCTCGCGCCCCGTCGCGCCCTCCTGAGGAGCCACCCGCCGCCGGCTCATCAAGTGCACTCCCTCTCGGACCTCTCGCGGCTCGCGCCGCTCTCCGTGAAGAGCGGCGCGATGAAGAACTGCGCGAAGCGGTCGAGAGCGCCAGGCAGGTGCGCGGGCAGCACCTCGAAGTGGTAGTTTGTGTTTTCGAAGGCGGTGTACGCGTTGGAGGCGCCGCCTAGGAGCCACCTGTCAAGTCATCCTTCCGTTCTCCCGGGCGGTGTCGCGCGAGCTGGAGGCGTCGCCGTTCTGCGCGAGGAAGGTGGTGTAGTCGTCCTCGTCCGGGTACTTTGCAGTCCCGAGAAAGAGCATGTGCTCCAGGAAGTGGGCGAGGCCTGCTCGCGACCAAACAATCGCCAGCTGAGTCAGCTGAGTCGCCAAGAGCATGCGTTCCAGTAGTGATTCATGAAGGCGAGGCCTCGCAGCTCCGGAGGCTTAATTCATGATTAATTATTAGTGATGAGGTCTTAATCATTAGAGGGAGGCGAGGCCTGGCAGCTCCGGAGGGTCGCACGCGTGTCCCACGGCAACGTCGAGGGAGGCCGCCGCCTTGTCCGCCTCTCCGTCCGACACGAGCACGATCCGCAGCTCGTTTGGGAGCTTGACGTACCGGTAAGAGCGGCCGTCGATCGCAGGCTTGCGGATGTCATCCGACCGTTCGACGACGGGCACGGGCGGCACGGCTGCGGCGCGCGGCCGCGGCGCGAGGTTCGCGGTGCACGATTGGCACACGTCGAAGTCGCAGATTCTGCACGAGCGCATCGGCGCGTCCTCGGGCTGGTCACACCCGCAGAGGTCGCACTCGCCAAACTCGTCTTCCATCGCAAACGGCTCGAGCGGGTGGCCCGACGGACACACCTCGACGATCTCCGCGTCGGCGTCCGCCACGTCCAGCGGCACGTCCACCGGCGGCGAACACTTGCCGCACACGTCGTGCTCGCAGATCCGGCAGCCGCGCATGTCGATACCCTTGGGCTGGTCGTCGCCGCAGAGGTCGCAGTTGAAGCGGTCGTGCGGCGTGACGAAGGGCTTGAGCGCATGGCGGTTCGGGCAGCACGGCACGGCGGTGGAGGCCGGCATACGTGTGCGAGTCGCACCACTGGGGAGTAGGCGGCCGAGGGGGGGCTGCCACCGTGGCCTACCAGGGCGAAAGACGACCTCCGCCAGCCTGGGACTCGGCCGATGCCAGTGTTTTTTTCTTTTTTCACACAACACTGGGAGCACCTGTGTTAGTGCCAGTGCGCGCCAGTCCCGTGCCCAGTGTTGTGGAAGGAAAAAATTCTTTTTCAGTAAAAGACAACCGCCGCAATTTGGGTGCCCGCCACCTCTGCCGCGCCGCTTCCGACTCGTCACGCTCTGCCGCCGCCGCGGCCGCCGCCGCCGCCATCGCGTCCACCCTCCGGCGCGGCTCGGCGATGGATGCTCGCCACCGTGCCAGGCCGGCGCTGCCGAGCGGCGCGCGTGTGGCCAGCCACGTAGAGCAGGCCGACCTCGTCGAGTTTAGAACCACCACGCACGGCCAGCGGCTGCCGTGGGACAACTACGCCGTGCCTCGGAACTACAGACGCCCCGCCAATCTCTCCGCCTACTTCACGATGGCGGACGGGACGTCAGCCCTGCCGCCCGCCTTTGACTGGGGCCCGCGCGGCGCGCCGTGGCCGCACACCCACCAGGCGAGTCCGCTCGTCCCGACGGGGTGCACCCGCTCCTTCGCCGTCGGCCAGCGCGGCGACATGCGCGGGACGGTCCGCAAGATGTTTGAGCGCGCCGGCCTGTGCGAGCCGGAGCACGGCGGGCCGGTGCACATGCTGTGGGTCGAGCCGATGGAGTACGAGGCGCGCTTCTTCCCGCCTCCGCGGGGCAAAGGCCGCTACCCAAAGGGCGGCATCATCAACTCCGTGCCCGGCATCCCGCAGCTGCTCGGCGTCAAGCCCGCGCTCGCGCGGCTGCAGGAGCGCTGCTTTCGCCGCTTTGGCTACGACCCGCTCCGCGCGACCTCCTCGCAGCAGGGCGGGCACTGCCAGTTCACCAAGCGCGCCTTCTCCGTCGCAAAGGGCCGGTACGAGGCGGCGGCAGACTTCCGCGCCTTCAACCTCGGCTCGATGGCGGACCAGCAGCCGGCCGGCGGGGCGGGCGCCAGGGAGGGCGGCCCGCGGCACCGGATCTGGATCAGCAAGCCCAAGGGCGGCTTCAACGCGATCGGGATCCACATGCACTCGCTGGGCGAGGCGGACCTCGCGTCGGACGAGGCGACGCGCCAGTGGCTCGTCCAGCGCATCCCCGCCGGCGAATTTGTGCTGCAGGACTACGTGATGCGGCCCATGCTCTTCAAGGGGCACAAGTTCGACCTGCGCCTCTGGACAGTCCTCCTCTCCGTCGACCCGCTCCGCCTCCACCTCCTCGGCACCGGCATCCCGAAGGTGTCGATGTTAATTAATTAATTAATGAATTAATTAGTAATTACGGCACCGGCATCCCGAAGGTGTCGATGTGGAAGTACGACGGCAGCCCGAAGCACGTCAAGAACCCGTGCGTCCACTACCTCTTCCCGGGCCCGAGCGACTGCTACTACAGCCGCGAGGACCCGGACGGGATGCGCGACGTGCTCGCCCCGCAAAAGGGCCTCTACCCCACCTCGACCACAAACGACTACTGGTACGACAACGTGGAGCCGTCGGGGCGGCGCTTCTGGAAGGAGGTTGCGTGGGCTAACGTGGAGCGGACGCTGGTCGAGGTGATGCTCCTCGCGCGCGAGCAGCTGCTGCACGTCGACCACAAGATCAAGCAGGCCGGGCTGCGGTACAAGCGCGTCGTCTTCCTCTCGCCCGACCTCGTGCTCGACGAGCGGGGGCGCGCCTTCCTGGTCGAGATCAACACCAACGGCTACATGATCGGCGCCCTGCACACGAGGAGAGCACCCCCCCTCACACCGTGCTTGTTCCACACCCACGCGCTCCTTTCCCTACAGGCAACCTGCACAAGGACTTCTTCCCGATGGAGAGGCAGCAGAACGCCGTCCCCTCCTTCGTCGGCGCGACGGGCTACCCGCTGCAGCCACACTACAAGGCGGAGCTCGCCGCGCAGACCCGCCGCTTCTGCCAGTCGGCGGCGCCGCGCGGCGGCTGCCCGCCCTCGCTCGAGCTCGAGCTCTGGGAGATGACGCACGAGCAGCTGCACTCGAGCCGCGAGTGGTACCGCGTCTGGCCGGCCGCCGCGTCGTCGCGCTTGCACGCCGCCTTCTCCGCCGTGCCGCAGTGGGCCTCCTGCCTCACGCCGCTCGACACTTTCGCCGCAAAGTGGCTGGCCGAGGTCGGCTGGCTGCCGGAGCACCGCGTCGACTCGAGCAACGGGGTCGTCTTCGTCAAGGGCCAGCCGGGCCACCTCGAGGGCGACCACCGCAAAAAGGCGGGGCTGGGGCTCAAGCACATGGGTATCGCGCCGAACCGGTGACGGCGCTGACGCCGCGCGGCAGGAACATGAGCGGGCGCTCACTCACTCGCGGTGTCGTGTGCGATGTGCATGAGTCGTCTCTTGCGCGCGTCTTGGTCTGCGTTAAGTCGCGGGCGGAAGCTCTAGCTCACACCGTTTCGTCCTTTTTTTTTCACACGTGTGCCCGGTGCCGCCGAGCGCAGGCGGAGCCCACAGGCCGGACCTTGAGACAGCGCTGTAGATTCCCTGGGCGAGCGGGTGTGATGCTGATGGAGTCTCTCCCCGTATACCCCGACTTGTGTGTACATATACCACGTCCGCTTAAAAAGAGGTCTCTCGTTACGAGTCCCCGTCGAGGGAGCCCTAGCGAGGGAGGAGACACGACACGACGAGGGGCTGTGGGTCTTGCAGTGGTGGTCTCTACCGTCACCCCGCCAGCGGCCCGGCGGGTTCGGCTTAGGCCTCCACTGTCTGTCGGCGCCAAACCACACCCTCCACCCGGACCGAGGCCGGGCAGGTGTTCCTCGCACGTGAGCAGACTGCCCCGTTGGAGGTGCCCCTTGGAGTGTGAAGGCTTCGTAGCCTACAAAGCCCTCCGGTCTACTAAGATCCGCAGGACTGGAGCGAAAGAAAGCAAGCGAGTGCCGTTGGAGGTAGGCCGCTCGTCTCTAGCCACCGGCCACACAGGCTAGTGCCATTTCACTGTGGCACAGCTCGCGTTACAAAACCTTGATTTGACCATTTGCGCAAAAAGGTACATGTCGGTGCCTTCCAGAGGCAGCTGCGACCCCGCCGAGTAGACGGTTGCACACAGCAGGTGGCGCTGTGTGACGCCGTCCACTCGGCGGGGTCGCAGCTGCCTCTGCGCGTCCTGGGGATGTACCTTTGTCGCGCGCCGGAGACGACTCGACGCCGCTGAGATCGGAGATCAAGCTCTGACAGGTCGCACGTCGCTCCTTTGACGCCGACGTGACTCACCCGTGCAGATCACATCAGGACACGGTCTCGACGCGCTCGGTACGACGCCTGCGACCCGTCTCGGGTCAGGTGGCACGACGCTCATCGCGCCTACCAGCGCTGCCGTACAGGTTGGCACGACGAGGTCGAGCACGCTTCTATACGCTCGCCGAGCCTTCCTTTCCATCCCATTAGGCAGCCTGGGAACGGTGGCGGTCAGAGGCAAAGCCTACGAGGGGTGGTGGAACCACATGTCACGGCTACTGCCGGCTCGACCCCACGATAGCCTCCGAAGGCTGACTTTGCGGCACCATCATCGGACGATGTCGACGAGTTGGGTCGCTCTCGCGGTAGCCAGATGACCTCTCTTCCTAGGAGCATCGGCCATGGCCGCAGGGAGCGCGGGGGAGGGCGCTGGAAGCAACACGGAGCTCCGTTGGAGACGTTTTCAAGATTAGCGTGTCAGTGAGAGTGAAATGGCACTCGTCTGGGGGGGGACCCCCCCATCTTTGTTTACCGATGCATCCTAGAATGCAAAAACGCATTCTAGGACGCACTTTTCATCTCAAAGATACCATGTGTCTCGGGTACACAGGGCATTCTAGGATGCGACGGCTGTCCTGGAGATGGCCGCGCCGTGTCTTTTGTTGCGCGTTCCATCTTAGACGCCACAAGCATCTATAGATGCACAGCTGTTCTGAGATGGCACTTGCATACTAGATCACATTTTACTATACTTGGACAGGGAATCAGGAGACACCGTGTGTGTGTCGGGTGCACCGGGCACCGAGGGGGGACCAGGGAGCACGAAAAGGCGGTGTGATCTCTCGGCACCCTCCCCTGGGGGCCCTGCCTTGAGTGCTCGCGTGAGGTCTCTCCTCGCGGCCTGCCCCTCCTGGAGAACCAGGTTCTCAGCGAGCGTCTAAGTAGGACGCCTACTAGACGCACTCTAATCCAGAGACGCATTCGGTAAACAAAGATGGGGGGTCCCCCCCCCCAGACGACTAGCCACAGCCGGGGGGTTTGCCGCCGCGCGCCGGCTCGCGCGCGGACTTGCGTGCGCGGAGCGGAGGCGGTCTCTCTCGCCGTCTCTGGGCTGCGCGTGTATAGACTTCCGACGTAGATGTCGCTGCCGACGCTCCGAATCAAAATAGAAGACACAGCTAAAAACATACACACATGGCCATGCCGCCTGGCTCCGGTTAGGTTTGCGCGAATCGGCCTCCAGCTCTAACTGTGACCCCGCGCCGATCCCTCTCAGACTCAGTGCGGGTCGCTCACAAAGAAGCGGAGCAGCAGGTAGCAGGAGGCCTGCCCGGCCACGAGCCACAGCACGAGCGCCTGCAGGTCGGCCCACGCGGCGCACGGCATGTCGAGCCAGCAGCCGGCGGCGCCCTCGTCGCCGTGGTTGTACCCGAGGAAGTCGAGGATGTACGGGCCGGGCACGTGCACCGCGGGGTAGTGCGGCGAGCCCGGAATGGCGCGCTGCTCGATGTCGACCATCGGCGCGCCGATGGTGCCGAGCTCGTTGACGAGAACCATCTCGAGGAAGCGGAACATGAAGGAGGTCGCCGGCAGCGCGCGCACGAGCCCGCCGAGCGCCGCGCTGCCCGATTGTGCGAGGTGCTCGCCCATCCTCTCGAGCGTCGCCTTGTTGACGAGGAGGCCGCAGAAGAGGAAGGAGTAGAGCGCGAGCATCGCGCCGAGCTGCATGCCGGCCGAGGGCGAGCGGCACGCGATCCCGATGGCCGAGGCGAGCGAGTAGCCAACCAAGTTGGCGAGCGAGAGCCCGAGCGCAAACATGAGCGCCGCCGGCGGGCCGGTGGCGGAGTGGGCGGCCCCGAGCGGCGCGCTCGAGTGTAGCCCCGCCATCGGGTAGACGATCGCCGCGCAGAGCAGCGACGGCACCACGCGCAGTGGCAGCGCGTCGAAGAGGAACTTTGAGGCGACGTAGCCGAGCGGGCCGTAGCAGCCGGCGGACGACTCCTGCACAAGCCGAGCAGGAGGCAGGTGGGAAGGAGACAAGTGAGAACAGGATGAGAGGAAGGGTGTGGGCACTGTAGCAGCCGTCTATCTCTCGGCCAGATCTCGGCCAGGTCTCGGCGGGTCTCGCCTGGAAGTAGAGAAGCCGCTCCGAGTGCCACAGCTGGATGTTGATGAGGGAGGTGAGCATGAAGACCAGCATGAGGAAGAAGAGGAGCCCGATCCGCTGCAGCACGCCCGAGTCGAGGGCGTTGTTCTTGCCCGTCTGCCAAAAGGCGAACCCCGCAAGCACGGCGAGCACCAGCGTCGACACGAGGTTGACCCAGATCAGCATCGGGTGCCGCAACGCCAGGCGGCAATGGCGCGCAGAGAGCGAGTCGAGCTGCATCGCGAACGAGACGGGCGCGCACTCGCGGCGCGCGGCGCGCACGAGGAGGCCGCGCCAGCCGCCCGCCTCGGCGGCGGGCTCCGCGATCTCTTCCGGCGGGGTCGCCTTGCCTGCCTCCGCCCGCAGCAGCGCCTCGATCTTGAGCACCATCGCGCCGCTCGGGTCCGCAAGCGCGTCGAGCAGCGCCTCCGCGGGGTTGGGCGAGATCTGGGCCAGCCGGGGCGAAGCGCCGTCTGCGTCGAACCACTGCGCCAGGGCGCACGAGCCTACGAGTCACAACGGAGAGGAGTGGGCGACAAGAGTCCTCCTGACAGAGCCTGCGCCGCCGTGCGCACGAGCCGGCCGCAGTCTTGACCGGGCCGCCGTACAGGAGCCGCCCGCCCGCCGCCATCGCCACGAGGCCAGTCATCGCCTCGAGGAAGCGGTACGTCGGCTGGTGCACCGAGAGGAGGATGGTCGGGCAAGCGCAGACTCGGCCGCCCGCGGCGCCGCCCTCCCCGCCGGCCGCCGGCTCGGCTAGAGCGGCGGGCGGCGGGGCGGCCGCGTCGTTGGCGGGGAGGGCCACGCCGACCAAATCGCAGAGGGCGGCGACGACGAGCCGCGCGTTGGTCGAGTCGAGGCCGGAGAGCGGCTCGTCCATCAGCAGCACGCCGCGCGGGCTGCCTGCTGCCAGCGAGGACGCGTTGATGAGTGCTACCTGTCAGCAGCACGCTGCGAGGGCTGCCGTGGATAGCGATGAGCTCGACCGCCACCGAGACGCGGCGCCGCTCCCCGCCAGAGAGGCCGCGCATGTGCGCGTCTCCGATGAGGGAGGAGGCCTTTGGCGGGGGGGGGGGGGGGAGGGGCACTGTCAGCCGGAGCCAGGATGGAGCCGAGATGAGCCGAAACAAGCCGAAGTTTGCGCGTCTGTGGCGAGGCGTCTGTGGCGAAGGATGGGTGCCTTGCGGGTGAGGGACAGGGCGGTGAGCGTCGAGGCGACGACGGCGGCCCGCTGCTCCTGTGGCAGCCACGGCAGCCGCACGCGGGCGTGGAAGTGCAGGTGCTCCGCCACGGTCGAAGTGCCGGGCAACACGTCGTCCTGTGTGACGTACCCGACCTGCGGGACACTCTTCGGAACGTGTCATGGCAACGTGCCCTGCGTCCTCCCGCGCCGCGTGCCACGCCTGCAGCCGCCGCTCGGCGGAGCTCGCACGCACGCCGCCCAGCGCGACCGTGCCTCGGAGCCGGCCGCGCGACTTGCGGCCGGCGAGGATACCGAGCAGCGAGGACTTGCCGGCGCCCGACGGGCCGATGAGGCAAGAGAGGCCCGGGCAGAGCCGGTGCGAGTTCGGCTCGAGGATCCGCTTCCGCCCCACGTCGTACGCGACGCCGCTCCAGCTGAGCGCGGAGCCAGAGGCGGCGGGGCCTGCTGCGGCCGTGCGGGCGGGCGGACACTCGCGCGCGGCGGCGGCCGCCTGCACATCGGCGAGGAGCGGCACGCCCGACGGAGTCCGGCGGTGCGACGCCGGAGGGGCGAACCTGTTGACAGTGAGTCGCGGGTCGACACTCGCTCCTCTGGCGGTGCGGCGCCGCCGCCAGAGGAGCGGAGCCCGAGCGCTGCCGACGTCTCGACCCCTTCGGCGGGCGTCGACGGGCGCAGCGCGCTGCGGCGTCCGTCGGCGGCGTCGGCGGCGGCGGGCGCGGCGAGGTCGGCGGTCCCTCCTCCCTGGTCCTGCTGCGGCGAGGAGCGGAGTGGCGCGGCGACGAGAGGGCTTCGAGCGCCGAAGCTGTCTGAGCGGCGCGACGCCGGGGGACGCGCGTGCCGGAGGCAGGAGCCTTCGAGTGGAGAAGAGTGAGTCTCACCAGTCTTGCTAAGGAGGACGGGCGGGGCGGAGGCAGGCGCCGGTTCCGAGGGCGATGCACCACCGCGCCACGAAGGGGAGGAGCAGGCCTGTTCGCACCGCTCTGCTGTCAGCGTGTGCAGCTGCCCGCCTTCGTGAGCGGTGCGGGGAAGAGCGGGCCGACGGCGAGGAGGAGCCACGTGGTCGCGTACGAGGCCCACATCCAGCAGTGTGCATACGTCGTCAGGTCGGGCGAGCCGCACACGTCGCTGTAGTGCGGCGCCTAAGGGACGTGTCGTGGACATGTCATGGACGTGGCATGGACGTGTCGTTGACACGTCGGCAGGCGGCGCCGCGGGCGGCAGCGGCGGCGGCGACGGGGGCGAGATCTGGGCAGGATCGACGCACTCGCCCTGCAGCTGGCAGGTGAGGCGGAAGGAGAGGCTCCGGACGGGCAGCCGGACGACACACGGCGAGGAGGCGCGGGGCGGGAGGGGCTGCCCGCTCCGCCCTCTGCAGATGACGTGGACGGGCGGAGTGAGCTGAGCGCGGATCAGGTTGCACTCGGCGTACCTCGCCCAGCCGTTGTTCTGGTAGTGCGAGGTCGTGCCTGCGGGCGAGGGGGGGCGAGGACCGTCCTTCTCGTGCCCTGTGTGGACTTCCCTCTCCGGCAACCTCTCCCGGCAGGGGTAGGCTGCGCCTGGCCCCTTGGGAGGCAGGTCCTCTGGGCAGACAGCGTCGAGACTCTCCGGCTCCGCGCTGCTCTGCCACTCGAAGCAGCGGTCCCCCTCGGACCACGGGAAGGACACCTCCCCCTCCACTTGCGCCGGGCAGGCGATGTCGCTCGCCCTCGTCTCCTCGCCCGTGAAGAGCACCTACTCCGCAGCGCGTGCCGTCGTGCAACAGAAGCTACCGCCGTGCAGAGGCGTCGCCTCCAGGAAGAGCACCATCCCGCCGGAGAGGATGCGGTCTCCGTCCCCGTGGGTCGGCGTCGCGTCGTTCTCGGGGTAGAAGCCCGCCCAGTTCGGGTTCTCGGCCACCCGCATCATCCGGAAGAAGGAGCCTGCTCACACCGCGAGGGTTGCGGCTTCTACCAGGCAGGCCCAGGCCAGCGCCACGGGCAGCCTCCGCTGCTCGAGACGCCAAACTCGACTCTCGTGCCAGAGGCGTTGTACCACTGCGTCATCAGCTTCATGTAGTCGGGCACCATCTCCTCGATCTCGCAAGAGATGTTGCCGCCCCTGCCCAGCGAGAAGGAGCGGCGGCACTCCTCCCCCGCGCCGCAGCCCGCGTCGGCGTTGCAGCCGCCGCAGGTGATGCCCGCACGCCCGTCGGGGCAGTCGCAGGCCTGGAGCAGAGGGAGGGGGGGTAGGGAGACGGCTCGGGTCCCAATGCAGGGAGGGAAGTGTGAGAAGGGACGGGGATCAGGCCGGGAGGCGACGTCGAGGCTTGTGTCGCGGACTCGCGCGCCTGCGACGTCCAGTAGGGCGTGTGCCCGCTCCCCTTGGTGGAGTTGGCCGAGGAGCGCATCCCGCCCGCCTCGCACAGCACGTCCCAGATCTCCGGCGCGCTGTACGTGTAGTTGACGCCGCGGTATCCCGTCGCGTTCAGCTCGTCGGCAGTATAGGTGTACAGCGGCCCGTGGTAGCGCGCACACTTGGACCGATCTTCGTTGGTGCAGCCCTCGACGTGCGGTACCCGGTAGTTCATGTCGAGCACCTTGGCGCGATGCAGCTCCACATCGCTCGAGTTGCCGTCGCAGCGCAAACTCGAGAGCGGGCCGCTCTCGTTGCCAGGCACGCAGGAGAATTTGTGCGCGCACCAGCCGCACTCCGGGTTGGCGACGCAGGAGAAGCCGTCGCGCAAGCGAGCGCAGCTTCGCCCAGCGTTCAGGCCGGGAAGGAACAAAACGGAGAAGCCAAATGCCATGCCAAGTGCCTTGGACGCAAAAAAAAATGTGCGACAAAAAATTTCGCTTGCGCGCAGAAAAAAATTCGCTGAAAAATCTCGCTGACGCACAAGGAATCGCATCTCGCGTTGTCGAGAAACTTCTCTGACGAAGGGACGGACGGACGCCCGAAGAGCATGTGGAGGCTGCCGGCCGCACACCGTGCGGCGTCTGCTCGCCTCACGCCGCTGACACGGTTCGCGAGGTCCCTCTGCCTCGCCAAGGGCGAAGCTTCAGACGCCTGGCACCTGCTGCGGCCGGAACGCAAGCTGGGCGACTTGGTGCGGATCGCCGGATAGACGCACCACGCAACAAAGCGACTCATGGCCCCGCTTCCCCACCGCCCAGGCGGCGCTGCGGGAGTCGTTCGATAAGCTCGATCTCGACAACTCCGGAAAGATTGACCTCGACGAGGTCAAGAGCGCGCTCCTCCAGACCTTACGTGATAAGGATGAGGCCAGCACTCGAGCAGAGGCTCGTCTGCCCCCAAAAGAGCCGCCCGAGAGAGAGCGAGCGAGCGAGAGAGAGAGATCGCGCGCGCGTGGCTTACGAAGACAGATGTCATAGATCAGCGGATCGGCCATGGAAGGAGGTCCATCCATGTCAACGCTCCCTCCTCCACCTAGGCGATGATTGCCTCTGCCGATCTCAACAGCGACGGTCGTGGCCTGCAGCACCGCGCACACCTCGCGAGAGCCTCCTCACCGCTGCTCCCGCGTGCGGCAGGCCAGATCGACTTTGAGGAGTATAAGAAGATCGTGGGCTACAGCGAGAATCGGCGCGCGACGCCAGACTACGCCAATCAGACGCGCATCTACTCTTCAATGGACGAGGCGTGGCGCCAAACTCGGTCCTAAACGTGCCTCTGGAGACCCCGCCCTCACACCAATCCCCTGGTCATGTACAGGTTCCCTTTGCCTTTGAGGACGGGCAGCAGCCGGGATACGCGCCAAATCCCAAGGCCGGTGTGGTCTGACGTGGTCTCCAGACCAGGGTGACGTCCGGTCCCTCGGCGGGAGCAGCAAGCAATGAACAAGACCCGGGCTGCGCGGGAGTGCGGGCACGGAGCGGGAGAACTCAAGGTGGAGCTGTTGTCAAGGAGCCCGCAAGGCAGGGGAGGCGAGAGGTGCGCGAAACGAAAGGCCGGTTTTGCGGTAGCCTCACACATCGCGTCCAGCTCTAGGAGCTTGTACGCATGTATGTTTGCTCTGTCGGAGCGGTGTGAGGCGTGAGACACACAGACACACCAGTCGGCGCTGTGTGATCATGTGCCTTTTCTCATGCGACACCACGCCGGCGCTCCTCGGCGCATTTTTCGCAGCAAAAATCCCTTCACATCTCTTTTTTCCACCGCGTCTCGAGCGTAATCGGGGCTTGTGTCGTGTTTGTGGCGGGCCACCACCTGTCCAGAGGGAGAGGTGTGCGCTTGCGCTCCTCTCTAGGATCAGGGAGTGAGTGAGTATAACACACGCACGCACGCACACACACACACACACACACACACACACACACACACACACACACACACACACACACACACACACACACACACACACACACACACACACACACACACACACACACACACATCACACTCACACACACACACACACACACACACACACACACACACACACACACACACACACACTCACTCACCACACTCACTCACGGTCCGGGATCACGGTCGGGATCGATTGCTACGTCTCGACACGTCTCGAACTCTCAACTCTCGGATGCGACCGTCCTGTGCTAGGGATTTTCTTTTGTGTGGGCGTGCGTCGTGAGCCGTTGTTGTGTGCGCTTGCGCGCGCTCCCAGTCTCAAAGGATGACAGAGCATCCCTCATCAGCGCGTGTCGCCTTCCCGCGAATCAAGAGAGTTAGTGATCACACGCACGGACAGTCGAAGGGTCGAGAACGGACAAATACACAAATACAAAAAACAACTTCGCTCTCACCTGGCAACCCTGTCTGCACGTCTCGCGCGCGCGTGAACAGGGCAACCCCCATAAAGATCAGTCTGCAGGGGCACCACCATAAACTTCACTTTGCAGGGGCTCCAGGCCCCAAATAAATGACGTGTGAGTGTTAGAGTCTGAGTTGGCAGGATCGGCAACTGGGGTCCGTTCTGACTAGTGCATGTACATGTAACACGTTCTGGCCCTCGCCATTCTGATCATTCCTGGAACACCCTCGGACCGACCCAGGTGGCCGGCCGGGTAAAACCCGGGTATACCCGAGAATTCTCAGGTATCCCCGAAAAATACCCGAAGCGGAGCATGAGGAGCCACTCGTGACCTTTGAGGACGCGGGGGACGTGCTGGGCATGGTGGAGGCGCCGCTGCTCGTGCCGGACGGGTTCAAGGTTGTCGCGGCCTCGCCGACGGAGGAGCAGCTCGACCCGACCAACCCGGCCAGCGACGCGCTCATCGAGCAGCGCATCATGGTCCGCTTCGAGCACTACGGCTGGTGCGTGGGCACGGTTACGGCCAAGGTGAACGACGGCCGGCGCACGATCGAGCGTGACCGCGTCAACTTCGTCGCCAAGTTCGACGTTGACAACGGCGCGGCGACGGACCTCTCGCTCGAGTCGTCGATGTACGACGGCTCGCCGTCGGCAGAGTACGAGTCGTGGCTGCTGCTCGAGCCTGTTCTGGCGCCGACGGAGGCGGCGGCCCTGGCAGCGGCGGCCGGCGGCGCAATCGTCGCCGTGTGAAGAGGTCGGACCGGCTGGGGCCGGGCGGTGGGCGGTGGGCTGCCTTGGCGCTTGGGGGGATGGGCTGTGGCACGGTCCGAGTCGTAGGGCCGGTGCCGCCTGGATGCCGTTCTGATCATTCCTGCGACCTTTGTAGGGATCCTCGCACGACTCCCGAGCTGAACTCGTCCGCCTTCGAGATCACAAACAGGATGTGCAGCAGCTCCATGCCTTGCATCTCCACAAATGCCAAGCACTCCACGTCGAGGAAAAACCACTCGTTCGGCCGCATCCAGAACGCCAGCCCCAGCGCCATCACGGCGGCGAAGTTCACGTCCCCCGCATTCGTCACCGACAGGGTCGACATCAGCGACGCCACGGTCACCGGGCACAGCGCCGCCGCCTTGTAGGGCCGGTTTGAATCCAGCCGCACGTTGCACACCTTCCTCATCGCCTTGATCATCACCTTCCACTCCGGGTCGTCCTGCGGCGCCAGCACATTGTGAGCGCGCGACCAGCCGCTCAGCCCGTCAAAAAAGAGGTCGATCGTCTTCATCGTGAAGTTGTCCTTCCCGCCCGACGGCTTCTTCTTCGAGTGCGGCACCTTCATCCCTCGTGCAGCGAACGACGCCGACCCGTCCTCGAAGTCGCACACGAACCCGCCCATCGGCACCAGGCCGTTGGCAACCATCGCCAGGTAAAGCACCACCGGCTTCGGCTGGATGGCAATCGCCTTCCCTCCGCTCCCATCTATAGGCAAATTGTGCCGCCAGCCGCAGGGGAAGAAGCACTGCACAAACGTGGCAAATGTGGCCAGCCACGACACGAACTGCGGGTAGTTCGACCTCGCCTTCGACGAGATGGCCAGCATGCCCTGCTTCAGCGCCACGTCATTCACCAGCACCGCGTGCGCATCCGTCACCGTGAGTGCGTCCGCGCCGTCCTTCTGGTACATCTCCATTGCCGACGCCGCCACCGTCTCCAGGCCCGCCAGAACCTGCGCGGCAGTGCCCGCGCCGGTCTGGGTCTTCCGCTGCTCGCGCCGCTGCACCATCTTCCAATCTTTGCCATCGCGTCGGGAATCGAAGATGCTCTTGACCATGGCGGAGGTGCCCTTCACCGGCGCTCCCGCGACCTCGTTCGCAGTGAGAGCCGCCTCGTCGAAGGCTCCCCGCTCCTTCGCGGCCTGCTGCGTCCGCACCACCTCCATCGCGTTCGCCGTCTGCGCCTTGAGCTTCGCCACCTTCGCCTTCCTCTCCCGCTCCGCCGCCGCCTCCCGGTCCTCGCGGCGGTCCGCCAGGGGGTCGTCGCCGCCGTCGTCAGCCACGATCATGGCCGTGACGGCCTCACCCGCCATATCGTTCTCGGCCGGTCGATCGCGCGTCCCAAAAGTCGCCAAAAGTCGCCAAAAGCGGCGGCGAGTCGCAATCACCCGCCCGCCGTCCCGGCGGTCCCGCAGCTCGCGCGAATCTCCCTCTTAACCCACACTTAACATCTATATAAGGGATCCCTAGTCTTCCGTCCGAGGTCGGGCTGAGGGAGGACTGATGAGCCGCGTCACTGTCCCTGTGCCTGTCTGCTGCTAGTGCCGAGAGAGAGGCTCCGGGTCTCAGCGCCTCAGGCGGGCCCAGCGGCCGGTGTTCTGAACGTTCTGAGAACGCATTCCGAGCCTCATTCCCCTTACCTTGCCAACTCAGGTTGAGTTGTTTGGATTGCAAAAATCTCAAATCACATCGTCTAATTAGGGGAATCACACCACGATCGTATGGGCCGATACAGGCGGTTGCGCCGCCCCACACGGGCGCGTCGGAGTTTACTTGCTTGGAACGCGCGAGTATCTAGATAGTAAAGCAAAAAAAAAACCCGGCGACGACGGCGCTCTGGATGGGGCGTGACCTCCTGCCTCCAACCTCCTTCCTTTTTGAGCAGGTGTGACGCCGCGCGAGCGACGCTCCGAGATCGCCCGAGATAGCGCGGCGCGGCCCCGAGATCGCCCGAGATAGCGCGAGATCGCCCGAGATCGCGCGGCGCGGCCCGGGGCGGGGTGGATGGGTTGGGAGCGAGGGGGCGGAAGTGCTCAGTGCGGTAGATGGTCAGCTCGAGGCGCGTGAGCCGGACTTGTGAGCCGGACCACCCCCTCTTGAACCCTGCGTTGTTGAGCCAGGACTCAACATACTCGGGCTGTCGCCGTCCCAAACTGTCACTCCCCTCTCTCCCGGCCGGGGTGGGGCGCGCGCGGGGGCGGCGGGTGTGCGGCGAGTGTGCGGGATGTCTGTGGGCCCGAGAGCGATATGCCATGTCCGCCTTGCGTTGTTTCATAACATCGAAGGCTAAGCTGAAAAAAAAATCTGGATTTGTCGGCCGTTTCGCGGCGCACGGCGTCCCCTGCTCTGACGCCACTCCACGCCTCGCGACGATCTTTCGCGAGGCGAGGCACGGAGCATGGTGGAGGGCAGCGAGCCGGCGCTCGAGACCGAGCCGGCGCATCTCCTCGCTGCGGTCCGCGAGTTCTTCTGGCCGCTCGGCGACAAGGCTCGCGCCCAAGCCTCTCCCGCAGCCTCCTGCCTCACGCCCTCACGCGTCGCGCGCGCGGGCGAGGCTCCGCGTGCAACCGCGTGGCCACGGAAACCTCCATGCACGCCAGCAAGGCCCACCCTCGTGCATTCCCTGCTGCGCTCGCACGCAGGCGCTCGATGACCTCACCGTGAAGGAGACGCTGGGTGCGCGTGCCGCATGCGTGCCGGCGCTCACGCCGCCCTCCGCGCCCTCACGCCGCCGCCCGCGGTGCCTGCACAGGCACCGGCACCTTTGGGCGCGTGCGACTTGTCGAGGCAGACACGCTGCGCAAGCACCTCGCGGCGAGACAGCCCGAGCCGATGAGCCACGCGACAAACTGCTTCCTCGCGCTGAAGAGGATGAAGAAGTCCGAGGTGGTGCGGCTGAAGCAGGTGGAGCACATCCTCAACGAGAAGAGCGTCCTCGCGGAGACGTCGCACCCCTTCATCGTCGACATGTACGCCACGTTCCAGGCCCGCTCTCCGCCTCCCTCTCCCTCTCCCTCTCCCTCTCCCTCTCCCTCTCCCTCTCCCTCTCCCTCTCCCTCTCCCTCTCCCTCTCCCTCCCTCCCTCTCTCTCTCTCTCTCTCTCTCTCTCTCTCTCTCTCTCTCTCTCTCTCTCTCTGTGTGTGTGTGTGTGTGTGTGTGTGTGTGTGTCTGTCTGTCTGTCTGTCTGTCTGTCTGTCTGTCTGTCTGTCTGTCTGTCTGTCTGTCTGTCTGTCTGTCCCACTCTCTCTCTCTCCTTCTCTTCGCTCTCTCCGCGACACATGCACATGCACATGCACATGCACATGCACATGCACACGCACACGCACACGCACATGGAGACACGCCTTCCAGACGAGAGGAGCCCGCGCGAGCCGCCCGAGAGCGAGACAGCACTCGCCGACGTCACGCAAGAGGCAGGAGGCAGGGCGGTGAGCTAGGGCGGCCAGCTGTGCCGCCTCTCCCCTCAGGACGAGAGGAGCCTGTACTTGCTGCTCGAGTACTATTATATATTATATTATATTATGTTATACTCAGGACGAGAGGAGCCTGTACATGCTGCTCGAGTACGTGCCTGGCGGAGAGCTCTTCTCCCACCTCCGCAAGGCGGCCGCCAGCTACACCGCCACCCCCCCCACACACAGAGGGGCGTGGCTCGGGCGTGGCTCGGACGTGTCGCGGACGTGTCCCCGTCCCTTAGGCCGCGCGCTTCTCCAACGAGGGCGCGCGCTTCTACGCCGCGCAGGCGACGACAGCGCCTGCACGGCCTCGGCTGCCTCTCGGCTGCCTCTCGGCTGCCTCTCGGCTGCCTCTCGGCTGCCTCTCGGCTGCTCGGCTGCCTCTCGGCTGCCTCTCGGCTGCCTCTCGGCTGCCTCTTTGCTGCATCTTTGCTGCCTCTCGCGCAGGCCGTGATGGCGGTGCAGCACTTGCACGGGATCGGCGTCGTGTACCGCGACCTCAAGCCGGAGAACCTGCTGCTCGACGGGCGAGATCCGGCCGAGATCCGCCGAGATCCGCCGAGAGATCCGGCCGCACCTCCCCTCGCCTCCCTCCCTTCTCTCCTCGCCCTCGCCCGCGAGTCACCCGCCCCCGCTGCTCCGCCCCCGCTGCTCCGCCCCGCTGCTCAGGCGCGGCTTCCTCAAGCTGGTCGACTTCGGGTTCGCCAAGCGCGTGGCGGACCGCACCTGGACTCTCTGCGGCACGCCCGAGATCGCCCGAGATCGCCCGAGATCGCCCGAGAGGACCGCACCCGCACTCTGTGCGGCACGCGAGAGCACCTCGCACAGAGCACCTCGGGAGAGCTGTGCCTGCGGGGAGATCTCTGCAGCGGGTGAGGAGCCGAGCCTGCCTGCCGGTGGCTGCGTGTTGTGACTGCGTGCCTCTCTCCCTCCCTGTAGGCACGCCCGAGTACCTCGCGCCGGAGATCATCCAGTCCAAGGGGCGCGACTCTAGCCGAGATCTAGCCGAGATCTGGCCGAGATCTGGCCGAGATCTAGCCGGAGATCATCCAGTCCAGGGGGGGCGACGCAGCACTCGACGGCGCGCGCGGCTCACCGCTTTCTGTGAGTCCGGCGCCCCCTTTTCTTTCCCAGGCACAACTTTGCGGTCGACTGGTGGGCGCTCGGCATCGTCATCTACGAGATGCTGGCGGGCTGCCCCTAGATGCGACCCACCCACTCCTCCCGCAGGCGGTTGGCGGAGCGCTCGGAGTCGGCGGTGTCCGGCTCACAGGGGGGGTCGCACTCCCACCCCCTCCGGCGGTGCTCCTCCCCTCCCCCCCAGGCGGGCTACCCCCCCTTCTTTGACGACTCGCCCTTCGGCATTTACCAAAAGATCCTCGCGGGGAGGCGCGACACCATCTACAGGAGCCGCTCACCTCGGCTCGCATCGGCTCACCTCGGCTCTCCTCGGCTCCCCTCGGGCAGGCACGAGTGCCCGCGCCACTTCGAGCCCACCGCCAAGGAGCTGATTCGCAAGCTCCTCACCGCCGACCGCACAAAGCGCATCGGCAGCACGAAGAACGGCGGGGGCGCGGAGGAGATCAAGAAGCAAAAGTGGTACCGCGGGCTCAACTGGGCGGCGCTGTACAACAAGACCATGGAGCCGTACATTGCGCCGGACGTGTCCTCCAGCGACGACACTTCGCACTACGAGAAGTTTGCAGACTCGATCGAGGAGTCGGGTCCGCTCCTCGCCATTACCAAGGACACCGCTCTCTTTGGGTCGTTTACCGGGGCCTTCGGGTCCATTTAGCGGGAGCCACAGCTTCATTTTTGTATTAGTGTGCGCCCACCTATTTTCTTCAGACGTGATGTGTGTGATTAAAATGTCCTAGTTATACGAGCGTCATCTTGTAGTGAACAGGCCGAGTTTGCGGTTTGAGCGCCCAGCGCAGAGACCGACCGACCGCAGGGGGGGGGTCCGGGGTCGACGCGGGCCGCGGAAGACCGCAGACCGGACGGCCCGGAGGGGGGGTCCGGTCGGTCGCTCGGAGCGCAGACCGAGGGGGGGTCGGTCGGGTTGGCTCGAGGGTCACACACACCGCACACGCTCGCCGCAGCTGTGAATAAATTAGTATCTCGAAATACAGAGACCAAGCGCCCTCTCGCTCTCACTCCCCGTCTAATCACTCCTCGTCGATCGTCGTCCGAGTGGCGGCTGAGCTCGAGACACGAGACCGAGACGCTCAGGATTGGGTCGGAACACGAGCTGGTCCATGTCCACACTCTGGTCGTCGTCGTCCATACGATTAGCTTCGCCGGCGACACACTGTACCCGTTGACGAGCCGCTTGAGCGCGACCAGAGCTTGTACAAAGCGAGACGGCAAGCAGGACCAGGCCGCCTGCGACTGCGTAGATGCTCCACATATGTGTGGGGTCGGGCTTGCTCGGGCCTCGGCGAAGAAGTCTCCTTGGCGCTTGGCTGCGTAACTAGTTTTCATAGTGAAAACCGGCGATTTCGAAGCGCCCGTGGCGGCATGGCGAGAAGGAGGGAGAGAGAGCGTTTGAGGGGGCTCACGGCAAGGACACCGACCGAGGGGGGGGTCGGTCGTCACACCTCCCGCCGCCGAGAGAGCGACCGACCGGAGGGGGGGTCCGGTCCACCTCGGGGGCAGGCCACCGACCGGCGGGGGGGTCCCCACGAACAAGGGTGGGTGGGCATACAAAATGACGCTCGTATTTAAGGTCCTGACTTTCTGATGTTTTAATTTGAGCGCGTGCAGTTGTTGCATGTTGGGTTTAATTTGAACGGCGCCCGAGTTATCGCTTTCAGGCGCGTGTAAACGTACCGCGGCGGGGCAAGAACGGCTTTTGTTCGTACCATGGTTCGTACGTACGTGTAATACCGGTCGGTACGTACGCGCTTTGGCGGCGAAAGGACTTGCCGGAGGAGGTGGTGTGGCTAGTCATCGACGGCAGCCCCTCTCGCAGCCGCAGCCGCACGTAGCCACCGTTAATTCTTTATTATTCATTGACGTACCGCCGGCCCATGAAACGAGCGGTACTTACGTCCGTTTTCGCGATCAACCAAAACCGTCGGCCTCGTCGCTCAATTGCCATGGCATCTCTCTGCCGCGGCGGCAGCTGGCCTATGGCGGCTGCGCTCCTTCTGTCCCTTGCCGCGCTACGTCTCAAACTGAGCCTCGGCGACCGCGTCGAAGTGCTGTACCACGGGCTTTTCCTCCTCTTCATCCTCGTCTGCCGTTGGAACGGCTGCTTTCTCGGAGAGTCACTCTCCGGGGGCCATCGAGAAAAGAAAGAAAACAGACAAGTACTCCAAGACAGCCCAAGGGACGGGAACCTCGAAAAAAAGAATCAAAACAGACGTCCCAAACGAGGGAGGATGGCGGATGGGAGAGGACCACAAGGTCGCCCCCACCTGCAGCGAGCAGGATTTTCAGTGTATGTGGTTCTTACGAACATATACCCGAGGGTGAACTGCTGATTTGGGACGACTCAGCCTTTAAAGAAAGAAAGAGAAGAGAAGAGAAGAGAAAACCCAAGGGAGGGATACAAGTAACAAGAAAGAAAACAGCGAACCCAAGGGAGGGGGGGAAGAAAGAAAACAGAGAACCCAGGGAGGGATGGGAGGATGGGAGTCGACTCAGCTGTTCTGCAATTCTTTGGGACCTAGAATTCTTCTTCTTCTCTCCCGCACTGGGTTCCAACTTTTTCCGGGGTATGGTATGGTACCCTCGCGGCCCAAAGAGGGGATCATTGGTCCCGACCGCCCAAGACTAGCCCTACCATACCCCCAAGTAGGTCTGTCAGCAGGCGGGGGGGAAATTGTCTCGTGGCACATACCATACCCCGCAAAAAGTCCGAACCCTGCCTGCCTTCTGCCGCGGTTGGAGAGCTTGACAGTGCTGCAGCCATAGCAGACGTGCAATGACACCCTCACCAGCCTTTGCCTTTGCGGCTGTTGCCGCCCTTGTGCCGAACCTCACGCCTCTCGACACCCTCACCAGCGGGTTTGCCTCCATTGCACGCCTGCCTCGAGGTGTGACGGTCACTGAGGGCAGCCGCGGCGGCCAGACAGACCAAGCGCCGCCGACGCTGTACGACATGGAGGGCTGCCACTTCTGCCGACGTGTGCGAGAGGTTGCAACCGAGCTCGATATGGTCGTCAACCTCGTCCCGTCCGCGCGCGGCTCTCGCTCCCGCGACGCTCTCGCCGAGTACGCCGCCGCCGCCGGGAGTAATGTGCAGGTGCCCTTCCTCCTCGACGGCGATACTCGGCTCTTTGAGTCGGAAGAAATCTGCCGCCACCTGATTGCAAAGTACGGCGCAACCGTGGACGTGCCGGGCGTCGGCACCGGCTTCGTCGCCTCTGCGCTGCGCCTCGGCCGCGGGGGGCTGGTCGACAAGTCTGCTCTGCCGGCCCCGCCCGACCGGCCGCTCGTCCTCTACTCGTACGAGGGCAACCAATTTTGCCGCCTTGTGAGAGAGGCGCGGGCCGCACGCTGCCCCACCGCCGCCCTCTCCCCGCAGCTGGTAGCATCCCACTCCCTTCTCCTTCAGGTGCTCTGCGAGCTCGACCTGCCGTACGAGCTCCGCTCCGCCGGCAAGGGCAGCCCGCGCCGCGAGGAGCTCAAAATACTCACGGGCGGGTCGAGCCAATGCCCCTTCTTGCTCGACCCAAATAGCGGCGTGCAGCTGGCCGAGAGCGCCGACATTGTCGAGTATCTGCGGGGGCGGTACTCCCGCGGCGGCGCTTCGGTGGGCTCTTCATGAACGGATGAGGACGGGTGGACTACCGCGGCCGCGTTTTGGGCGTCTGTGAGGCACGACCGAAGGTCTCATGTGCCTGTGATCTCTCGTCTTGCCACGAGATTATTCGAGATTTGAAACGGTCGATTTCAAAATTGAAATTCACACGAATGCGAAAACCGAAATGGCCACAATGCACAAAAAGAACGTTAACGAAAACGAATGAACCCCAAAAATACTCCACTCTGCACTCGACATACATCATGTGACATATACACAGTTTAGATCTACAGAACAGGCTACCCACACCCAGCCCCGACGGCTCACGCGCTCTCTGTCTATGCACTATAGGTATGTAGAAAGGTTATCCCGCTTTCCATATTCCATTTAGACCATATACAGAGCCGTCGAAGGTCGTCCGACTCCTGCTGAGCGCTGTATCCGGATTGAATCATGGCGCGAGGCGCGCTGGCTCCATGGCAGCACGTTGAAGCAGAGAGCAAGGTGCTAGGTGGGGACGGAGGACGCGCGCGTAAGGACGCGTCGCCATCTCTACTGTGAATAGAGAGAGAGTGCTGCAGCGTTGGAACCGTAGCTCGGCGCCTCGCCCTCAGCAGACGGCGGGCGAGAAAAGCTGAATGAACGAAGCTGTCTGTTCGCGCCACAGGGCACAGGCACAGCTACCAAGATGCTGTGCTAGATGGGGGGAGCACCGTGGACTCCTACCTCACCTTTGGCAGTCGTTCAGAGCCAGATGAGTAATGGTGCACTAACGTGATGATGAAAACCTGAAAAACACTAAAATTGGACGGCCGCATTCGCAAGCTGTTTTTACGCGGCCGCTGGTGGTACTCGCCGAGCGCCTGCCACGAGCCAGCATGATCCCGTTCTGCGGCCTCATCACCAACGCCATTCTCCTCGTCTGCGGCTACCTCTCCTTCAAGGCGCTCGAGTCCGAGGCGGGCGACGACGACACCAAATGGCTGACTTTCTGGTTTGTGTACTCGCTCCTGGCTTTCATCGAGTCCATCGCTGACTACGTGGGTCTTGCCCTTTGTGGAGTTGGATCTTGCCGTGTCGGCTGACCTCTAGCCTCATCTCAGCCATATTTCGCGCTGACCCTCGGCAGGTCCTATTCATCATCCCCTTCTACAACGAGATCAAGCTCGGAGCCGTCGTCTTCCTGGCTCTCGGCGGAGCAAAGGTACGGCTGCATGCACACCTCCAAAGCACAAGCGCAAGCCCCCCCCCCGCACTCCGGGGTGCAACCACGTACGACTGCATACCGTGCACGCGTCATCTCATGGCCCATTGCCCGCACAGCTGGTCTACAAGATGCTGCGGCCAATCCTGCTCAAGCACCAGGTCGATGCATAGAGAGACGAGGGCGGAGATACCGCCCCGACAGCGTGTGTAGTCTTCTCATCGCGCCTTCTCCACCTGCACCTGCTTCCCTTATCAGGCGGCCATCGACGACAGCCTCGGCGGCGTCATGGACAAGGTGAAGGACGCAGGCGGGGCTGCTATGTCCGCTGCGCAATCAGCCGCGATGGGGAAGAAGGATTAGAGCCGGGTCATGAGAGATTGGGGACAGAGCGAAGGCTGGTTGGGCGTCGGACTTTTGTACACAGTTTGATTGATAGGAAGGCGAAACACAGTCTTCCGACCAAGAGGACTGGCACTGGGACACCAACCAGCGCGGATCTGTGTGTCCCTCTCTCTCTCACTCGATGTGGGTGGACGCAAGACGGGCGGTGAAGGTCCCACAGGAGCGACACACAGATCCACCCAGGACAAGACACAGACAGTAGACAGAGAGTGAAATGAGCGGGGAGTGTCGAGGGAAACCGCCACAGCGCCCGTCGAAGCGCGTATGCTCAACCACCTGCACGCGAGCCACAGCATCGTCCCGCTCGATGACAGCAGTGGAGACACCGACCTCAAGCCCAGGCTTGTTTGCTCGAGAGGATATGCCGCAGCCGCACTGCTCCTTGCATCAACACCTCTGTTCGTGTGGCTAGCTGCGCTGCCGTCGCCTGTGCTGCCGTCGCCTCCATCGCTGCCACCGCTGCCACCACCGCCGCCTCCATTACCATCGCCTCTGCCACCACCGCCGCCTCCATTACCATCGCGTCTGCCGCCGCAGCCGCCTCCATCGACAACTCTGTCACCGCCACCGCAGCCACCGCCGTCGCCACCGACATCCTCGACCATCGTCACCATCCTGAATGGTCAGTGGGGCGGCGCCGCGGGCGTGCTGGCCCACGTGCTGGATGGCCAGGAGAGCTCTAAGACACATCATTCAGCACCTTGTCCCTCCTCGCTCCTCACATGCCCTCACCCACTCTCACAGGGGATTGACATGTCGGGCTTCAACGGTTCACCTGGCGGCCTGCCGCCGCCCGCCCGCACGCTGTGGGACACTCTCGGCGTGCCCGACCGCAGCCATCCGTGGGGTGATCGCCTCTCCTGCAGCCTCCTCAGCCTTCGCTCTCCCGGCCTCTACGACGCCTCGAATGTGCCGCTGCTCGCGGAGGCCGGCTACACACACCTGCCCGCCGTGCTGCTCGACGCCGAGGCGAGGCCCTGTCGACCGAGACGTGTGACCGTGACATAGCGGCTAGCCTCCTGCGTCCCCACCGCACAAGGTGCTGCGGGGTCGATTACGATGCTGCTATCCCTTCGATGCCGGCTCGACGAAGCTCCACTGCGGCACATTTGGCGGCGGCGCCGGCTGCACTCCAGGCCGGCGTGTAGCCTCTGCCGTCAGCCTTGGACCGTGGCCAACGCCCCTCCTGACCGCACGCTTTCCAGGCTGCGGGGACCGCGACTACGCACAGCGCGAGGCGCGGCCATGGGGCTTCGAGGGCGACGCCCGCGCCTACAAGCCGGATGAGCTGGCCAAGTGCTTTCCGGAGTGGGGCGGTTTAGATGACTCGCTGTCGAGCTCCGCGTGTGTGTGCGTGTAGGTGCCTCGACGGAATGGAGGCGGAGCGGTGCGTCGAGGGACGCTGGTGCGCGCTCAGCCACAACGAGCTGGTGCTCGACATTGCGGACAGCGGCGACGACGGGCTCCAGCGCTTCGTGCGGGCGGTCGTTGTCGACAGCAGGGCGAGCGGAATGGCGGTGAGGCTCGCCCGAGCAGTGTGGGCGGCGGCGGAGCAGAGCAACAGGACGGTGCCGCTGTTGCATTACGACCCTCGGTCTGTGGCGGCCCCCTTCTCAGAGGTGGATAATGAGGGGAG